AAGCTGGCAAAATGGGTGCTGCGGGAGGATCGCTTGGGGCTGGGAGCTCATGGTGGCCTGGGCCACGCTGAGACTTCGTCTCTACAAAAATGAATCAATCAATCAAGGCGGAAGTGATCAATGTTACGTCATCTACATTTCACCACTATTTTAGAGAAATGCCCTGTAGTTCCCCTCCCCCAGGCTCCTGCCCACACCTGACCCTGCCCTCGCCCTGCACCAGCGCAGACACGTCGGTGCGCTCGGACCCTCCAGTGGACCGAGCTCATCCCTGCCCCGGGGTCTCTGCACCTGCTGCTCCCAGGTTGGCAGCTCAGCCGTCATCTCCCCCAGCCCCACCCGGAGGACCATCCCATCCTCTCTCGTTCCTTGGAAGCTGCAGCAAAGGCCACGCCACCGAAGCCTGGAAGGGGCAGAACTCTGTTCTAGTCCTCATCCAATCACACCACCCAGGGCAGCGCTGAAACGCAGCTGGGACTCCTCGGAATTGTCAGGAAGGGAGGGGGTGGGGGACAGGCAGAAAAGGCCGTCTGTGCAAAGGCCAGGAGGAAGCAGAGACAGGTGGTGGGGGTCCAGGGTCTTCGAGGAGCTCTGGTCAGCTGGGCTGGTGTCTCTGGAAATGGGGCCTCCTCTGGGGACCCCCACAAGCCACCCAGACTGAGCGCCCTGGCCAGGTGCACACCTGAGCTGAGGAGGAGCCTCCAGACCTCCCTACTGGCTGAGCCGTGGCCAGAAGGGAGCTCCAGCCTCCTCTGGAGGAAAGCTTTGAAGATGGGCTTTCCTCTTGCCTCAGAAATTCACACGGGGCAGGGGCCATCCTAGAGGAGGGGGTCTCCATGTCTTGCAGCCCCCGTACAGGGCACCCTCCGACAGGGGCAGCTTAGGGCACTGGGACGCACAGGTGAAAGGTGACTCGCCTTTCCCATAGCTTCGCGTCCCACCGGGAGATTCGGCCCCCAGTGGTGCCTGTCGCTGGGTGGACCAGCAGGGTCTAAGGGCCGAAAAGAACCAATGTGTCTCCACCTGCTGCTTCTGGACACCTGGCACTGGCTCTGAGACTCCTGGGCCTTGCTGGACAGCTCCCCACCTGTGCTGGGACAGGGGACGGGGACAGGGGACAGGGGCCTGGCCATCCCAGCACCCAGGAGCAAGCAGCCCATCACCACCCGGGGCCCCAAGGTCTGAGACACCTTCCTGCAGGACCCACCCAGCCCTGAACCCTTCCTTGGTCACACACTGGGCCCCTCGACCCATCAGCAGGCGAGTCCCTGGGAGCGGGTCTTCGGCCTGATGAGACCTCCACCCTAGGAGCTGAGGGGCCATGTGCCAGGGAGCAGGAGGCCACCAAGGCCAAGGGTCCAACACAGCCACCACCCCCTGTCCCAGGATGGCCTGGGGCCTGGTGCGGAGCAGACCCAGAGCCCAGCCCTGCTTGTGACCCTCAGGCTGTGCCTGACACCTTACGTGTCCAGTGTGGAGCTGGCAGGCAGCACTCAGTGCCCGGGGCTGATGGAGGCTGGGGCTCACTCAAACCTGCACCCCTGTGGTGGGGGGAGGGTCGGGTTGGGCCATTCGGGGACCCCAGCCCCAGTGACCAAGCCCTCCGGGCATCCCCCAGGGCTGAGAGGCTGGGCTTGGGGCAGCTGGTGACAGCAGACAGTGGCTCTGACCACTGAGGCCTGGATGGCCTCTGGAGGGGTCTGTGGGGTCCCAGGCGGGTCCTCATTCATGGCAGGATCAACCCCTGTCATGTTTGGCTCCGTGTGGCCCAGGAGGCCCCTTTGTCCCCACTGACCCCTGGCCGGAATGATGGACAGTGACCCGCCCAGGGCTGGGCCTGGCTCAGACTCCGTCAGAGCCGCAGGGCAGGTTCCTGGCACGTCCAAGGCGGAGGCTCCCCTGCGCTCCAGGAGTCTGTGCCCGGCCCCCCTTCCCAGCAGGAACCGGCTCTGTCCCTTTCCTTCCTTTATCTCATGTTTTCTGCGCCTTCAACTGTGAAGAGGAGAGCTCTTCAAACACGCTGAGCAAACAGGCTGGACTCCCGGGGCCACATCCGGGATGTCTCAAGAGCCTCGGACCTGACGTCCACCTGGGACCCCTGCCCCGGACCCAGCCCAGTCCCCAAGGGGCCCTCTGCCCCAGGAGGTGCCTGGGAGAGGGATGAGGCAGAGTCAGGGTCCCCACTGGTTTGGTGTCACTGCGTGCCGCCGGCCACAGGTGGGCAAGGCCCCTGCCTGGGGGCTCTTCCAGGGTGGAAGCGGGGCAGGTGGGGCCTCAGGCACTGAGCTGGGACAGAGCTGCTGCCTGCGGGTCCCAGCTCCGCCACGGAGAAAACGCTTCTCGCTGGTGCAGAGGTGCTCAGCCCGCTTGAGCTGGGTGCGAGGGGGCTGCCCTGCAGTGGGCTGCCAGCCCCCATGAAGGCCGCAGGCACTGGCTGTGGTCAGGGAGGGCCGAGACAGGCAGCAGGGGCCGCAGGGAGACACCAGGAGTGGCCCCAGTCTCTGGGTGGGCATCAGCTTTCGAGCTGGAGCCACAGGCAGGGTCAGGGGAAGCCAGGAGGGCTTGTGGCCAAGGTGAGAGATCTGTGGGGGGCAGTGGGGGCATCTGCAGCAGAAGCCCAGGCAACAGGCACACCCCTCCCCCAGCACGAGGACCACGAGCCAGAGCATCAGGGAGTCCCTGTTTGCCCAGCCTGGCCTGGAGCAGGCAGGAAGGCCGAGGAGAGGGGTCTGGCCGGGGCCTGGGCGCAGTCACAGCCAGGAGCCCAGGGTGGGGTGCCCCCCACCCTCCTGACTGTCCTTAAGGCCACTGGGCAGTCATTGCCTCCCAGCCCTCCTCAGGGCCGCGCTGGCAAGGGACGACCGGGCTGGATAAGAAAGAGCTCGGGGACCCCAGAGACCCTGGAACCTTCAGCTTTGGAGATGATCTCAGTGGGGTGCGGGGAGTTGGCCACCGACCACATGCTCTGGAGTCCCGGAAGAGAGCAGGAGCCAGGGTCTGAGCCATACTGAGATCTGGGAGCCCCCTTCCCCCAGAAGCCTGAGGCGCACCCTGAGACAGATAAACTGCCATGAAGGGAGAAGGCAGGTCCCAGCCTCTGCCATGGCCCTCGCGCTCCTAGGAGCCTCCTGGGGGCCTCAGCCATGAGGGGGGACAGGTGGCAAAATGGGCCAGGTCTGTTCATGTTGCTGTCCGCATCCTCCATCTCCAGAGCGTTCTCATTTCCCAACCTGAAACCCCATCCCCTGAAACACCAGCTCCGAGCCCCTCCGCCAGCCCCTTGCGCCCACCATCCACGCTCCATACCCGCGGGTTTCAGGACCCTGGGGGCTGCACACTCGAGGCCCCTCCTCCTTTGTCCTTTGTGTCCACCTGCCCCCCTCTGCACAGTGTCCTCAGCTTCCTCATGGAGCAGCCTGGGCCAGCCCTTCCTTTGCACAGCTGAACTGTGTTCCACCGCACGGGTCGGCCTCGTGGTGCTGACCAGTCCTCCGTCGGGGGATGCGCAGGCAGCCTTCGCCCTGTCAGAGGTGCTGCTACAGATGTGGGGGTGCAGACCTTCCTTTGTGAGCTGCTTCCAGTGCATCCGGGGACGGACACGGGGTGGAGCTGCTGGTCCCGCACCGGCAGGGCGAGGGGCTCCAGGTCCCCACGTCTCAGCCGATGCTTCTGACTCCTTGTTTCTTGGTCCCCCACATCCTACTGCGCGTGAGGCGGGCCAAAGCCCTGCAGATGAGCTTTTGCCTGGCCCGGAAATCCCACCACTAAGAATTTAACTTCAGAAAGATAAACACAGGGGTGTCGGTGCAGGGTCCCTGCTGCAGTGATGGGGACAGTCGCCAAACAGAACAAGACCTGGAAACCGTCATCTGGTCCCCTAGGGCTGGACGAGGCCACCCCACCCCACCCCATCTGGGGCTTCCCACCTGGGGTCCGCTCCTTGGAGTGTTCAGGATGCTAGCGGCCAGGGAACCAGGGGTGGGAGCATCTCAAGCTCCGGTCACACAGGCAGAAGGTACTACCGCCTGGACAGTGTCCTGTAGGTGACGCCATCTGTGGAGGCTGTTCCTGGTTCCGGTTTACCACGTGGCCCCCAGGAAGCCCACCCGATACCTGGGGTGGTGCTAGGCTTTTGAGGCCTCCACCTGGGCCAGGCTGAGGACCTCGGGCAGGTCCAGGACCCCAGGAGCAGCTCCTTCCTTAACCCTGCCAGGGTTAATGAGGGGTCCTGGAGTGAGGTGGAGGCCAAATGGACACGGGGCTGGTAGCCTGCGGCCTGCCTGGCAGGGCTGGCTTTGGACAAGCACAGCCGACTCCCAGGAGCATGCTCAGGGCACACTCCGGGCCCCAGCTTCCCCTTGAACTTCGACCTTGAAACAGATGAGCCCGGAGCCCTCCCAGGTCTTCGAGGGGCTCTGGTCAGCTGGGCTGGGGTCTCTGGAAATGGGGCCTCCTCCAAGGACCCCCCACAAGCCACCGAGACTGAGCGTCCTGGCCACATGCATGCCTGAGCTGAGCAGGGGTCTCCCAGCCTCCCTGCCGGCTGAGCAGTGGCCAGACAGGAGCTCCAGCCTCGGGGACCCTCCCCAGGCCTCAAGGACCCATGGTGAGCAGCCAGGGGAGCTGCCCAGAGGCTGGGGTTTCCTCCCAGCAGGAGCCAGAGTGGGGCTGAGTGTGAGTCAGGCTGGCTGACCACTGGTTCCACGGACCCTGGGTCCAAGGCCCGCCCTGCCCTCCAGCAGCTTTGCGGCCTAGGACGGGTGCCAGGCGGGCCTGGCCCTTCTCCTCTCCCTTCCGATTCTCAGAAGTTGTTGGGGGCGGGGGCATCTTGGCCTTAGAGCACAGAGCTGCAAATCTTTCCTGCTCCAGGCCTCTTCCCTGCCACAGCCCCTCCCCGAGAGCAAACACACGTGGCTGGTGCAGAGAAGAGCAGGGTGCCCTGCGTGGCCTGGCCTGGCCCAGGGCCAAGGCTCCCTGCTACATAAGCTGGGGCCCCCAGGGGAGCAAGCACCCAGCCAGGCTCCCTCCCTGCCCGTCTGCGCCCCCACCCCCGTTCCAGCCCCGGGATCGGTGCCCGGAACATGTGCTGGGTGCTGGTGTGGGTCCTGGTGGCCCTGCTCGTGAGGCAGGCAGGTAAGGGCCCCCCACTTGGCCCCTCCGGATGCGGTCTTCACATCGGGGGTCTCTGCGGGCTGCTCGCCTGAGGGCTTCTCCTGCAGCATGGACGGGCAGATCCCCCTACACCCCCATGAGTGTCCTGGATGGGACCCTAGGCATCCCCAACACAGGGCTCCTGGGCCCACTGCTCACAGTGTCAGGGAACCCGGGGGCCGGCTTGGATGGGGTGTCAGGAGAAGTTGAAACCCTGACCGAGGAGCAGGGATCCTGGGAGACCACCAAGAGGGTCCTGGCCTTGAGGGTGGGACAGGAATTGTCACTGGGGGTGGGGGCCATGGCTGAGGGTCTCTCTGGGGCCCTGTGAGGCCCTGGCATGAGTGAGCAGGGCTCTGTCCTCCACGACCAGCCTGGGAGTCACAGCCGGCAGGGCAGCTGAGGCACCACCCTCCGGACTGCACAGCCAGCTGTGAGAGCCCCGGCCTGAACCCAGGCCCGACTCCCATGGGGCTGTCCACGGGCTCTCAGCCAAGCGGTTTCCCTCCCCTGCCGTCTGCCATAGTGTTAATACTGACTGTCAACAGAGAAAGACATGGCCTTGGGGCCACTGGGAGACACCCTGCCCCGAGGCTACCGAAGCCCCTCCTGGCCCCTCCCTCCTCCCCCTCCCAAGCTTGGGGTCTGGGCTGGGCAGGCGAGGCTCTGGGGCTCTCTCCACCTGTGGAAGGGAGGCTGGGAGGGGAGGGGATGGTCCCCTCAGGGCCCCTGACCCAAGCCCCCTTGCTGGGTGGTCAGCAGGGCGGGAGGCCCTGGGCTTCCTTCAGTGGCTCCCAGTGTGGACCGAGGGAGCTGTCTCTGACCGCAAGATTTGGGCGCTGGATTGACCAGAGTAGCCACGTCCTCTTGACCGGCTCTTCGGGGCCACACAGCCTGGGCTCCCCTCTCCGGAGCAGGGAGGCCCGGGGCTGTCAGCCCACCGTGCCCCATGCGCATCCAAGCTGGGGGGGTCAAACCCTCAGCAAGGATGGTGCTTTAGTCTCGAGAGGCACATCCCGCAGTCAGGGCGAGGTGGCCCCTGCACAGTGCGTCTTCATGCTAAGGGACACACGCCAGGGTGACAGGGTGGCTGGTGGCGGGCACTTCTCTGGCCTCAAGATGGAGGACCAGGTGGCCCAGCCCAAGCAGGGTGCCGCACGGAGCAGATGCCCGGGGTCGGTCAGCCTGGGCGGGGCAGGGGCTGCCTGGGTCACAGAGGGGCTGCCTGGGGCAGGCGCCATTGGGTGGCAGTGTCCGGGCTGGGCCACATTTGGGGTCAGGGTGGAGGACACAGGGAGCTTCCGGAGCCAGCCCCTGTGGTAGTTCCCAGCTGTCAGCAGGAGCAGGCTGGGAAGGCCAGGCAGGGTGTGAGCTGCCAGCCACTGGCCTGTCCAGGCCAGAGCTCACACCACAGGTGCTGGCGCCTCACTGAGCCCTGGTCCTGCCATAGGGAGTGGGGCTGCACCTTCCGAATCTCCAGGGAAGTACGTGCCTGGGCTGGGCCCTCTCTTGCCTCCTCGTGGAGCACAGACCTGGGCTGGGCTGTCTCAGATTGGGCACCAGAGAGGAGCTCTGGGGACCCGGGAAGGAAGTGCTCCAGCCCAAACCGGGCAGACCCCCGGGGGTTGGGGGGTCCTCAGAGTCCTGGGGGTGGCAGCTGCCTCTTTCCAGGGCTCTCTGCTTAGAGTCCAGCCTCCACGGGGCCGGAGCCCATGCGACCACGGGCAGCCATTAAAGCATCCGGGGCCACACCACCTGCTCTGCCCGGAGGCCTGCCCCCACCTGCCCCTCTCGCCCTGACTTAGGGTTCTAGCTCGAAACTCGTTCTGGGCTTAGGTTTCTGCTAAGTCACGCCTGGAAGGCTCCAGCTGTGTCTTCCCAACAAAGGGAGTCTTTGTCCTTCTTCAGGGACGCCTGGGATCAGGCTGAATCCCCCCTGGGGTGGCCAACGCCTTTTCCTGATTCCATCTTCCTCCCCCATTGCTTGAGAAGGAGGCACCACCCCCACATGTCCATCAGGGAGAGTCGGGGTCACAGGACAGGTGCAGGCCCTGCTGGGGGCAGTGCAGGGGACCCTGCTGGAAGCCTCCATCCTGCAGGTTTTCCACAGCATTGAGTGGCAGGGGAGGCATCTGCGGTTGCTGGTTGGGGTTGCCTGAGCGTCTGGGGAGTCCTGGCTTTGGCCAGACTGTGCTGTGCAGGGGAGCCTGAAGGGCGTGGAGACCCCACCTCGGACTCCACATGAGGATGCCACACCAGGGGTGTGGCCAAGTCCGTGGCCAGGTTCGTGGCTGGCAGCCACATCTGGTTTCTCACTGACTCCCATCCCCTCTTCCTTTAGAAACCCAGAGCCCTGCGGAGCCGAGTGGGGGGAGCGCAGGGTACAGCACAGACGGTGGTAAGTGGCCGGACTCAGGCGGTGGGTTCCTAACCAGGCTGGAGGGCTGGGATTCAGGCTGGGGCAGGCTGACACCTCTCCAGGCAGCCATGAGTCCCACAGAGACCCTCCCAGGGTCCCCTGTGTGAGGCGGGGCTGGGAGCTCCAAAGAGGAAAGTGCAGAGCAGAGAGATGTGCACACGCACAAGGCACACACGAACACAGGCACACTCATGCATATGCACACACATGCACATAGGTGCACACACATGCACAGATACACACAAGGCACAAATGCACACACTTGAACACACACAAGGCACACATGCACACAGCACACACATGTGCACACACACAGACATGCACACAGACATGCACACACAGGTACACACACATGCACACAGGAACATGCACACACATACAAGGCACACACATGCATATAGGCACCTGCACACAGGCACCCACACATGCACACATACAGACCACACACCGCACACACATGCACACAGGCACACGCACACACACAGAGGCCAAAACACAAGAGCAGCAGTATTTCTGGGGTGGACAGGGCCAAGGGGTGAAGGAGCTGCCTTGTCTCCAGTCTGTCAGTTTTGGGCTCCCCTTCAACTCTGGGGGCTGGCGAGGAGGGTAGGGCCCGGAAGGGTGTCTCTGCCACCCCTTCCTGGCTAAGTTCCCAGGGTGAGCGGCCCTCACCCACAGGCTCCGTGACGTCTGTGTCCGCCCGGCGTGTGAGCTTTGTTTCACCTGTCACCGTCTTCCCCAGCCTGAGCGGTAAGCAGACGCTGCCCCTGCCAGCTGGGAAGGGGATGTTTGCCAGGGCCAAGGGTAGAGGCCCAGATCTAGGGATGCAGCTGGCACCAGGCGGGGCCACAGGGCCAGGCCCAGGTCACGGGCCACCATGGGGAGGGGGAACGGATCAAGGTCATGGAGTGAAACAGAGGCTGCCCGGGGGGAGCCAGGCAGGGCACAGCCAACAGCCGACGGCCGGCCTTTCTGCTCCAAAGCCAGGGCGCCTCGGCCCAGGGGAGGCTCCCTGGTGGGGGCTGGCGTGGGGGTAGCGGGGCTTCATCCGAGATGCCCCCCGCAGCCCTGAACCCGGCGCACAACGGGCGTGTGTGCAGCACATGGGGTGACTTCCACTACAAGACTTTCGATGGAGACGTCTTCCGCTTCCCCGGCCTCTGCAACTACGTGTTCTCCGAGCACTGCGGCGCCGCCTACGAGGACTTCAACGTGCAGCTGCGCCGAGGCCTGGCGGGCTCCAGGCCTGTGGTCACCCATGTTGTCATCAAGGCCCAGGGGCTGGTGCTGGAGGTGTCCAACGGCTCCATCCTGGTCAACGGGCAGCGGTGAGCCGGCCACCCCGGGGAGGGCCGAGGGCCAGGCCACGCGGTGCCACCTCCCCCAGTGGCCGTGTCTGACCTGCTCCAGGGCTGGGGCAGGACTGGGCTGGCGGGCAGCCAGGAGGGCCGGGCCCAGGGAGAGACCCTGCTGTCTGTGCAGGGAGGAGCTGCCCTACAGCCTCACTGGCCTCCTGGTGGAGCAGAGCGGGGACTACATCAAGGTCAGCATCCGGCTAGTCCTGACCTTCCAGTGGAACGGACAGGACAGCGCCCTGGTGAGGAAGCCCCCTTGCCCCTTGTCCTCCAGACCAGGTCGCAAAACCCCCTCAGGGAGTCGAAGGGTGCCTCCCTGGGCTTGGGGTCGTAAGACTTGGGGCATGTGGCCAGTGGGGTAGACCAGAGGCCCTGAGGCTGGAGCTGCCCCTCCCCCATCCTCAGCTGGAGCTGGACCCCAAATACGCCAACCAGACCTGTGGCCTGTGCGGGGACTTCAACGGCCTCCCAGCCTTCAACGAGTTCTATGCCCACAGTGAGTGCCACCAGGCAGAGGGGGTGGCGACCGATTATGTCAGCCAACCAAGGACCATAGTTCTGGGGAGGAGGGAGGGGGCAGCTCGGGGACCAGGCAGCAGGCAGGGAGGGATCACAATGGCTGTGGTCCTGGTCAGGGGAGGAGTGCCCCTGGGGCATTGGCCCCAGGCATCAGCGGGAGTCCTCTGGCCTGGCCTCAGGAAGTGGGAGCCCAGACCGTGTCCCCAGGAGCCCCTCAGAGCCGCCACACGCATGACCCATGCTTCTTCCGGGCAGACACCAGGCTGAGCCCTTTCCAGTTTGGGAACCTGCAGAAGCTGGACGGGCCCACAGAGCAGTGCCCAGATCCGCTGCCCTTGCCAGCCGACAATTGTACAGATGAGGTGAGCCCTGCTCCTGGGCAGCGACGGCCTCCAGGTGCAGGGGGAGCTGGGCTGAGGTCTGAGGAATGTCCCCAGCTGACCACGAGAGACGGTGGCGTCGGAGGGAGTCCAGGCAGCCAGGACCTGTGTGCTCAGCTCCACGGCATACACTGTGCACGTGTAGTGATATGCATGTTCCTTGGCCACACGTGTGCCCATCTGTGTGACTGAATTCAGGACACATCGCACGGGCTGGGCTGAGGGTGGGCCCTCGGGGAGCTCGGAGCAAGCCCTTCCCACCGGCAGGGGAACTCAGAAGGGGCCTGGAGGCTCCAGGAAACCAAACCAGCAGGATCTCTAGGCCTTAAATCATGCCGTGAATGAGAGCGTCAGCCCTCACTGGGGAGTGGAGCCCCACAGCCAGAGACCCAGGGCCTGGGGGTGGAGGACACTTGCCGCTGGGCTGCCCAGAGAGGCAGGGCCTCCGCCTCCCTCTCTAGGAGCTGCCTCCCAGGGCCCATCCCGATGGGGGCCCAGAGCCATGGGTCACTCCCCGAGGGCCAAGTGGGGCTCTGCGCTGGCATCTGTGAGGCTGCAGCGGGTGGATGGGGTGGGGTTGTGTACCGGGGGCCCCAAGGGGGAGAGGCCTTCCAGGCCTGGCCTGGCCCGGGTCCTGTTCCAGTGCTGTGGCAGCCACCGTGGAGGACAGGGGTGCCCAGCCTGGCCCACTGTGCCCCCCAGGAGGGCATCTGCCACCGCACGCTGCTGGGGTCGGCCTTTGCGGAGTGCCAGGCGCTGGTGGACAGCGCCGAGTACCTGGCCGCCTGCACCCGGGACCTGTGCCACTGCCCCACCTGCCCGTGCGCCACCTTTGCGGAATACTCGCGCCAGTGCGCCCACGCGGGCGGCCAGCCACAGAACTGGAGGCGCCCCGACCTCTGCCGTGAGTGCCTTTGGGCCTTTGCCAGGGATATGCTGGGGAGAAGGGGCAGGGGGAGTACCTCAGTGGCCACAGGGGGTGGGGAGGCCTGGGGGGTGGGGGTTGAGGGCAGAGGAGCCCCCATGGGCATAGTGGGCAGAGGCCACCCCAGGACCCTAAGAGGGGGCAGGGCCTCCAGGGGCTGCAGGAGCAGGAGAGGCTGCACAGGAGGTGGTGGGGGTGGGGGCCGGAGGGTGGACCTCACAACCATCCTGGGGTCCAGCTTTGGCTTCTGCGGACTTGATGGCATGCAGAAGGCGGTGGCAGGTGGCTGGAGGTGACCACATGGACAGCATGGGGTTCCTCCCCGGACCAACCCCACCTCCTTCCCCGCAGCCCGGACCTGCCCCCTCAACATGCAGCACCAAGAGTGCGGCTCGCCCTGTGCAGACACCTGCTCCAACCCCCAACGTGCGCAGCTCTGCGAGGAGCACTGCGTGGACGGTTGCTTCTGTCCCCCAGGCAGGTCCCAGGTGCCCTGGGCGCCCCCCGGGAGCTTTCGGGTCTCTGCTCCCAACCCTGCCCCCAGCCTCATCAGGTCCAGATAGAGCCCCTCATGCCAGAAAGTTCCACCCAGGGACCCAGGGCGGGGGTGGGCACTGGCTGGGAGGGTGCCGGACGACCGGCCAATGCGTGGAGGGAAGCAGAACGGTGCCACGAGCCACCTGGGCCTGGTAGGGAAACTGAGGCCCAGAGATGCTTGGTGTTCATCCAAGTGGATGGGGCTCAGGGCGGGGGTGGCGTCCTGGTGCAGGACTTCCTCCTGCAGGGAGGCGGCTCGTCCCCAAGGCAGGGGGTCTTCTGACCTCAGAGTCCCTGGTGCACGGGCCAGCCCTGCCTCACTGCCCATCCCACAGGCACGGTGCTAGATGATGTCACACACTCTGGCTGCCTGCCCCTCGGGCAGTGCCCCTGCACCCATGGTGGCCGCACCTACAGCCCGGGCGCCTCCTTCAACACCACCTGCAGCTCCTGGTATGCACCCAACAGCCTGGGGTCGGGTGTGGAGAGTGGGGCCTGCCTCCTCCCGGCAGACTCGTTCCAATCACGGCCTTCCTCCCCAGCACCTGCTCCGGGGGGCTGTGGCAGTGCCAGGATCTGCCATGTCCGGGCACCTGCTCTGTGCAGGGTGGGGCCCACATCTCCACCTATGACGAGAAACTCTACGATCTCCACGGTGACTGCAGCTATGTCCTGTCCAAGGTCTGGCTTCAGGGCAGGGTTTCCAGACACCCAGCCCCTCCAGGGGACCCTCACACCCCTTCTGCCCAGGGGAGGCCCCCACAATGGCCATAGTGGGTGGATCTCCCTGCTGACGGGGAGCCCTGGACCCCCACGATGGCCATGGAGGGGTGGATCTCTGCTGAGGGGGAGCCCTATAGGGGTGGATCTCTCTGCTGAGGGGGAGCCCTGGGTTCCCATGATGGATATGGAGGGGTGGATCTCTGCTGAGGGGGAGCCCTGAGCCCCCACGATGGACATGGAGGGTGGATCTCCCTGCTGAGAGAGGAGCCCTGGGTCCCCACAATGGCCATGGAGGAGTGGATGTCTGCTGAGGGGGAACCCTGGGCCCCCACGATGGACATGGAGGGTGGATCTCCCTGCTGAGAGGGGAGCTCTGGGTCCCCATGATGGCCATGGAGGAGTGGATCTCTGCTGAGGGGGAGCCCTGGGCCCCCACGATGGACATGGAGGGGATCTCCCTGCTGAGACAAGCTGCTGGGAGGTGACCAGAGGGGCCAAGGGCACCTCCCTGCAGAGCCACATCCCCCACAAGGGCGTCCCCAGCACATTTCTGGGGGGCACCCCACATCGAGCCAGGCCCAATGCATGTGTGGGTCCCTCCCCAGCAATGTACGGACAGCAGCTTCACGGTGCTGGCCGAGCTGCGGAAATGCGGCCTCACGGACAACGAGAACTGTCTCAAAGCAGTGACGCTCAACCTGGACGGCGGGGACACGGTGAGGAGCCGGCCCGGGCCCTGGGCTGGGGTGGGAAGGGGCATTTGAAGGCGTGTGGGGAGGAAGTGCGGTCAGATCTCCCCTCCAGCCTCGAGGCCCGGCAGCTGCAGAGCCCCCCGCAGGCCCAGACCCGAGCTTCTCTGTGGGCTCTGACCCCGTGGTGGCCCCTGGGCAGGCCACCCCCTCATTTGAGAGTCGGGAACAGGTTCTTCCCAGAGCTGACCTCCCGCCCGCCTCCTCCCGGCAGGCCATCCGGGTCCAGGCGGACGGCTCGGTGTTCATGAACTCCATCTACACGCAGCTGCCCCTGTCGGCAGGTACGCAGCTCCCCCGGGACGGCCAGGCTGGGCAGTGCCTCCCAAGCAGGGGCGGCTCCCACAGCCTGTGCAGTGTCCGCTCAGCCCCCTGCCAGCTCTCCATGGCCTCGGGCAGCTCCAGGAGCTTCCTGTGGTCGGTTTATCATCGGCTGAGTGGGGATGCCAGGGTTACCTAGGCTGCGGCGGGGACCCCACATCCAGCTCGCTCAGCCCCACTCTCTCAGGGATCCTGAGCCGGCTTGGCGGCCACAGGTGCAGGGCAGAGCATGAGGGCTCCTGCCCACTCCCTTGTCTCAGTGGGGTGGCCCGGCCCGCTGGATGCCCTGCCCCTCCCATCTGGCCATATCTGGCCCTGCAGCCCTGACCGGCGTCTCCACACTCCCCGCAGCCAACATCACCCTGTTCAGGCCCTCGAGCTTCTTCGTCGTGGTACAGACAGGCCTGGGGCTGCAGCTGCTGGTGCAGCTGGTGCCTCTCATGCAGGTGTTTGTCAGGCTGGACCCCGCCCACCAGGGCCAGATGTGCGGTGAGGCTGGGCAGGGGCCTTCGGTGGGTGCAGGGCCTGGACTAGCGCCAGGCGGCAGGGAGGGGGCAGGCAGAGGCGGGCAGGGGGACAGGGAGAGGGCTGCTCCCAGGGCACGGCGGAGACCCTGGTGCTGGCGCAGGACACCAGCATCTGATCGGTGCCCCGGAAGTGGCGGGAGGAGGGAGAGGGCAGCCCTGCCCTGGCTTGCGCTGGCTGTGCACAGGGGCCAGCCCCCTAGGGCTTGTCTGCAGACGGTTCTGGAAGCAGAGTCCAGGCACAGGGCTCTCGGCCGTTTCGTTCCGCCCTGTGTGGTGCCTGGGGCCGTTCCGCCCTGTGTGGTGCCTGGGGCACTGGGAGGGGCCAGGAGCCAGCCGGTGGGTCCGAGAGCAGCACTGACACCCCCAACCCTGGCCCCCAGGCCTGTGTGGGAACTTCAACCAGAACCAGGCTGACGACTTCACGGCCCTCAGCGGGGTGGTGGAAGCCACGGGCGCAGCCTTCGCCAACACCTGGAAGGCCCAGGCCGTCTGTGCCAATGCCAGGAACAGCTTCGAGGACCCCTGCTCCCTCAGTGTGGAGAATGGTACCCCTCGCCCCCACCCCCGCAGTTACCCCAGGCTCAAGTGCCACCCAGCACCTTCCTGTCCCCTGGGCCACGGGAACCCCTGGGTGGGATTGGGGACCCCATGGAGACAGGTGGGAGGCATCGGGAGGTAGGTGCTTGGGGCCAGGTGGCCGGGATCCCCAAGGCACAGCACGTGAGCCTCCAAATTCCAACTCACCATTCCCAGGGCTGAGGTCGCGAAGGACTGCGTGTGTGTTGGGTGGGCTGTGGGCTTCAGGGCAGGTCATGGAGATGGGGCCGGGTCTTCCCCACAGAGAACTACGCCCGGCACTGGTGCTCACGGCTGATGGACCCCACCGGCGCCTTCTCGCCCTGCCACTCTGTCATCAACCCAAAACCCTTCCACTCGGTGAGAGGCCGTGAGGCAGCCCCCCAGGTCTGGGCAGGACGGGTGGGGAGCTGTGGTGGGCTGGGGTCCCTGACGCCCCCCTCTCCGCAGAACTGCATGTTTGACACCTGCAACTGTGAGCGCAGTGAGGACTGCCTGTGTGCCGCCCTGTCCTCCTACGTGCTCGCCTGCACCGCCAAGGGCGTGCGGCTCAGCGACTGGAGGGACGGCGTCTGCAGTGAGTGCTCCGCGGGGTGGAGGTGTCACGCTGCGTGGGGGCGCGGGGGACCCTGGGCGGCGGCACCTGTCACCCACAGGGTTCTCAGGCCCGAGCTTTGCACCTCCGCATCCCAGCCTCTCAAGAACCTCGAACCCTCGTGATCTCTGAGTCACAGACGGGGACGCAGCATTGAGGATGGGGCGGGTGGGGCTCGGCCGGGCTGCCCGGCCGCTGACCCGTCCCCCCGCCTTCCCAACCGCAGCCAAGTACATGCAGAGCTGCCCTGAGTCCCAGCGCTACGCCTACGTGGTGGACGCCTGCCAGCCCACCTGCCGGGGCCTGAGTGAGGCCGACGTCACCTGTGGCATCGCCTTCGTGCCCGTGGACGGCTGCGCCTGCCCCGCCGGCACCTTCCTCAATGACGCGGGTGCCTGTGTGGCTGCCCGAGAGTGCCCCTGCTACGTTCACGGCACCGTGCTGGCCCCGGGAGAGGTCGTGCATGACGAGGGCGCCGTGTGGTAAGAGCCGGCCGGGGAGTGGGTCCCTAGGAGCTCCTCGAAGCCACCATCCGCCCTCCCTGGGCAGACAGGGGCCTCCCCCTGAACTTCCGCTCCACGCCCGAAGCCTTCTGTGCCTCCCTCGAGGGTTCGGAGACACGAAGGGCCAGGCTGGGGAGGGCGGCACAGGGTGGGCCCAGCGTGTTCTGAAAATTCCCGGCTGGGAAAGAGTCCAGGAGGATGCCTGCTGGCTGTTCTCATCTTGGTCTGAATGGCAGCCCCTGCCAGGAAAGGGGGGGCAGCCCCCACTCCCACCCTGGCCTCAAAGGCCGCTCCTAACCCCAGGGTCCCTACTGCCTGGTCGCCCCTCTGTGTGTATTTGACCATGAGCCTCCGAGGGACTTGGGGTCTCCCATAGAACCCAGCGGCAGGCACCAGCTGCCCTTACAAGGAGGCGGCCAGGCTGAGGAGGCCAGGTGCTCGGCGGCGGCTCGGGAGCCCAGGGTGGGGTTTGTGGGGTGTGGGCCGCAGATCCAGGCTGTGTGGTCCGTGTCTTGCAGTTCCTGTTCGGGTGGGAAGCTGAGCTGCCTGGGAGCCTCCCTGCAGAAAAGCACAGGTAGGCACCTGTCCCGCCCCACCCTGCCCCACCCCGCCCCTCCCTGCCCCGCCCCCCGCCCCTCCCTGCCCCAGCCCTCCCTGTCCCACCCTGCTAGATCAGTCTTCACCTGGGCCCTGCCACAGGCACCCAGGCCCAGACATGTCAGGGATGGAGGGGCCAGTGGGTCTCTGCCCCGAAGCATGGCCAGGGTGCCTTGGGCTTGGGGGCTGCTGGTGTCATGGAACCCTCGTTAGCTCAATCAGCAGGACAGCCTCAGGGCTGCCCAGGGGCAGCTGGGGCCAAGGCTGTCCGTCCGCAGGACCCCTCCCACCAAGCTCTGCCCCCAGGTTGTGTGGCCCCCATGGTGTACCTGGACTGCAGCAACAGCTCGGCGGGCAGCCCTGGGGCTGAGTGTGTCCGGAGCTGCCACACGCTGGACGTGGGCTGTGTGAGTCTTCTGGTGCCGGCTTCGGAGACTCCCTGCCGTCCGGTGCTTCAGGGAGGGTGGGCAGGGAAGGGATCCCAGCTTCCCCAGCTCCCAAGCCCAGGGCTCCGGTGGTCCTGGGCACATTGCGTGGCCAAAGGCCTAACACCCCACCCACCGGAAGCTCCGCCCTGGCCCGGACATTGCTCCGGGGCCCCTGGGTGTGCCTTCCCAAAGGATGAGTAGCATCTGCCCCCCTGGTGTCCGGCCCTGACCGGGACCTGCCTGGGCCCACAGTTCAGCACACACTGCGTATCTGGCTGTGTCTGTCCCCCGGGGCTGGTGTCGGACGGGAGTGGGGGCTGCATCGCCAAGGAGGACTGTCCCTGCGTGCACAACGAGGCCACCTACAAGCCTGGGGAGACCATCAGGGTCGACTGCAACACCTGGTGGGTCTCGGGTCCCTCAGAGGCAGCGAGTGGGCAGGGGGGCCAGTGGGCCGGGAGGGAGGGCAGCAGGTGAGGAGGCAGGAGGCGGGGAAGATACGGGGAGGGGAGGGAGGGCAGCAGGCCAGGAGGGCAGGGGGCAGGAAGGGGAGAAAGTGGGGAGGGCAGGGGGTGGGGAGGACAGGCGGTGAACTGGCTGGGGTGAGGTGGGGCAGTGGCAGGAGAGCTGCCAGGAAAGCCAGGGGCAATCCTGTGCGTCCTCTGGAAGGTGGTCCAGGGACCGTGGTGCTACAAGGAACCTGGTGGGGCTGCATGCCCTAAACTCGCTGTTTGGGACCACTCCTTTCACTGAGGAGGGCCAGGCTGGGCCTGGGGAGGCTGAGGCCCCAGGCTGACCCGCACAGGCCTGGGTGCTGGGTCTCCGGAAGGCTGGGAGGGCAGCCCCCGTGAGCAGACACTGTCCCGGCCCCTCGCAGCACCTGCAGGAACCGGAGGTGGGAGTGCAGCCACCGGCTCTGCCTGGGCACCTGCGTGGCCTACGGTGATGGCCACTTCATCACCTTCGACGGCGAGCGCTACAGCTTCGAAGGCAGCTGCGAGTACACCCTGGCGCAGGTACGCCGACCCCTCCCTAGCTCCCACAGGCTGGGCACGCTCGGGCCTGCAGTCAGCAGCTTGTCTCTTCCTGGCCCAGGACTACTGCGGGGGCAACGCCAGCCACGGGACCTTCCGTGTCATCACGGAGAACATCCCCTGTGGGACCACCGGCACCACCTGCTCCAAGGCCATCAAGCTCTTCGTGGAGGTGAGAGCGGCCCCGGCTGTGAAACCCCCTGCCTGCAGCCAATGAGCCGACCCAGGGAAGCTCCATGAGTCTGCAGCTGCCCTCACGGGTTCTCAGCGGTGTCCTGACCCAGGCTGCTGTTTCAAACAGCCACAAACCACGGGGCTTAGACAATAGAAATATATTCTCCGTCCTGGAGCCAGAAGTCAGAGATGCAGGCGGGCAGCACCACGCTCCCTAGGAGGGTCTGGGGAAGTCCTTCCTGCTTCTCCCAGCGTCTTGGGCTCCAGGCGTCCCATGGCTGTGTCTGCCTGTGGCCTCCCTCTGTGGCTGCCTGTGGCCTCCCTCTGTGTCTGCCTGTGGCCTCCCTCTGTGGCTGCCTGTGGCTTCCCTCTGTGGCTGCCTGTGGCCTCCCTCTGTGGCTGCCTGTGGCTTCCCTCTGTGGCTGTGCCTCTCTTCTCTCTTTTTGGGTTTTTTTCTCTCTTCTGTCTCTTCTAAGACACTGGTCATTGGGTTTAGGGACCTCCCCAGATAGTCCAGGATGATCTCATTTCAAGATGCTTCCCTGAATCCCATCTGCAGAGATGCTTTCTCCCAAGGCTGCAGGCTGAGGTTCTGGGAGTTGGAATGTAAACAGACCTTTTCCAGAGCTGCCATTCACCCTGCCACACCCAGAGACACCCAGTCCAGCATGGGGGGCCAGAGCTCCCAGGGGAGAAGGCAGAGCTGCTGCTGCCAGGGTGCTCCCTGCAGATGGCAGGAGGGGCCGACCATGGCCCCTGCTTCCCGCACTTCCTGCCCAGCCTCTTGCTGAACCTTCACTGAGGGTCTCATGGACCCAGCTCATCCCAAATGCCAGCTCCCTGTGCCATGTGCACCTGCAAAGCCCTGCCCTGGTTGGGGATCCCTGCGTCTCAGGCCCTGCCCCAGGGACCACAGGGTCAGCTTCCGACAGCGTCTGCCTCCCCTGCAGACCTACGAGCTGATCCTCCAGGAGGGAACCTTTAAGGTGGTGGCCAGAGGGCCGGGCGGGGACCCACCCTACAGGATCCGCTACATGGGCATCTTCCTGGTCATCGAGACCCGCGGGATGGCTGTGTCCTGGGACCGGAAGACCAGCATATTCATCCGGCTGCACCAGGACTACAAGGTGAGCTCCGGCCGTGGCTCCCAGGCCCTGCGGGACCACCTGGCGGCCACAGAAACCCTGGTGCCAGGGGTGTCCTGTGGGACCCGCTGAGCCTGGCTGGTGAGAACCCTGCCCTCTGGCCTCCACAGTGGGCTGAAGGTTTTATGGGGAAGCAGGTGCCACCCAGCGGCCCACCCAGGGACCCACCCAGCGACCCACCCAGGGATCCACCCAGGGACCCACAGCACCAGTCCCCTACAAGTTTGCTGGGCACTGGCTGGGGAAACGGCTGTCCTCCCTCTGTTTCCTGAGGGCTCTGGACCCTGGACCGGGCTCCGTGCCACCTCCCATGGGTGTCAGTGGCCCCGGCTCCAGGGCCCCTCTCGCTTGGCGCCTCTGCAGGGCATGGTCTGCGGCCTACCTGGCCCCGGCCCTCCATGCTCGGCGGCACTGCCCGGGGGCTCCGCAGGTGTAGCTGGAGGCGGGAAGGAGGAGGGGCCCCTGGCCCCCTGGGCTTGCCGGTAGTCACCCCCGCCTCGCTGGGCGCCTCTGCAGGGCAGGGTCTGCGGCCTGTGCGGGAACTTCGACGGAAACGCCATCAACGACTTCACCACGAGGAGCCGGTCCGTGGTGGGGGACGCGCTGGAGTTTGGGAACAGCTGGAAGCTCTCCCCATCCTGCCCGGACGCCCTGCTGCCCAAGGACCCCTGCACGGCCAACCCCTTCCGCAAGTCCTGGGCCCAGAAGCAGTGCAGCATCCTCCACGGCCCCACCTTCGCCGCATGCCGCTCCCAGGTGGGGCTCTGCACTTGGCAGACAGGGTGAAGTGGGGATGGCGGTGCTTCCTTCCCACTGAGAACTGAGTCTTCTGGGCACACGCCAGGGCTCCAAAGAGGGTCTGACTGTTCTCCCAGGGCACTCGGTCCTGCACGGCAGGCCCCAAGTCTGGATCTCCTGCCAACCCTGCACCTGCACTTCCTGCCCCTGGCACGAAGCCAACTCTGCTGTCTCCTGGCCACTCCGTTGGCCACAGCCTCAGTCACACCCAGAGGCTCCAGACACCCTCCTCATGATCCCCAGACCCGCCCAGTTCTCAGCGCAAACTGGAAGGTCAGCCCAGCTCCCCGCCCAGCCAGGGAGGAATCAGACCTCAGCCATAAGCAGAGAATTCCAAAAACAGTTTCCTGGCTGGGTGCAGTGGCTCATGCCTCTAATCCCAGCACTTTGGGAGGCTGAGGTGGGTGGATCATCTGAGGTCAGGAGTTCAAGACCAGCCTGGCCAACATGATGAAACCCTGCCTGTACTAAAAATACAAAAATTACCCGGGCATGGTGGCATGCCTGTAATCCCAGCTACTCGGCAGGCTGAGGCAGGAGAATTGCTTGAACCTGGGAGGTGGAGGTTGTAGTGAACTGAGATTGCACCACTGCACTCCAGCCTGGGCAAGAAGAGTGAAACTCCATCTCAAAAGAAAAAAAAAAACAAAAAGCATTTTCCTGCCATTTTAAGGAAGACTTCAGTGCCTATGTAGGCACACAGCATGTGGTTCAGGTTTGAGATGAAGGGCTGGCATAGGGGCAGTGGTGGGTGCAGCATTGGGCACACTTGCACTCTCACATCAGCTGCCGCTTGTCCCCTTGAAAAGGAAGCTGGCATCTGGACCCAGATTCAGATGGGGCCTGGGAGGGGTGTGGGCTCTTGCCTGGAGGAAGCAGGCTGCTCCTCGTGGTCAGGATGGGGCTAACAGCGCGGCTGCCCCCATGGCTGGTCTGGAAAGGAAGTGAGGCTGCATCGAGTCCCTGGTGCTGGAAGTCACCACTCCTTCCTCAGCACAGGTTCACTGGGAGCCTGGCAAGTTCTGGGCTCACCGCAGCCATCAGGGACAAGACCTGTCCTCACAGAACCTGTCCTACCTTTGGGAGGAGGCAGCAGGGTGGTGGGCGCTCGGTGGTCAGATGCTCGGACATGGAGAGCCCTGAGAGGGGGCCACCACAGGGTTGGGTCAGCTGTGGGGAAGGCCCCCAGCTGGAAAGGAGGCCAGCACCACTGCAGCAGAGAGAGGTGGGGGTGAGAGCCGAGGGCGAGCAGAGGTGCTATGCTCCATGTGGGTTTGGAACCTGTAGGCCACATGACCAGACCCACGTGATAAAAAGATCCAAAGGGCACATGTGAAGGTAGGCAGAAGGGCAGGTGCACAGGTGGGCAGATGGGCAGGTGCACTGGTGGGCAGAAGGGCAGGTGCACTGGTGGGCAGATGGGCTGGTGGGCAGACGGGCAGGTGCACAGGTGAGCAGACGAGCAGGTGCACAGGTGGGCAGATCGGCAGGTGCACAGGTGGGCAGATGGGCAGGTGGGCAGGTACAGAGGTAGGTAGATGGACAGGTGGGCAGATAGGCAGATAGGCAGATGGGCAGGTACACAGGTGAGCAGGTGGGCAGGTGCAGAGGTGGGTAGATGGGCAGGTGGGCAGATGGGCAGGTGCACAGGTGGGTAGATGGACAGGCAGGCAGACGGATGGGTGCACAGGTGGGTAGATGGGCAGGTGCACAGGTGGGCAGATAGGCAGGTGCACAGATGGGCAGGTGGGCAGGTGCAGAAGTGGGTAGATAGGTGGGCAGATGGGCAGATAGACAGATGGGCAGGTGCACAGGTGGGCAACGATATAGCTGGTCAAGGGCACAGGTGGGCTAGGAAGGTGGTGCTGGGGCAGCTCCTATTTGGGGCAAGCTCTGAGGTACTCCAGGCCCCAAGAGTCAGGGATCTTAGAGAGTTGCCATGGGGGGTTTGAAATGCAAATGCAAATGGCCTGGGCCATCCGCCCCCTAACAGTGGGGTGTCGGAGGGACACTGGCCTGACAGCTGCATCTTGGCCTCACTCCCAGGTTGACTCCACCAAGTACTACGAGGCCTGTGTGAGTGACGCGTGTGCCTGCGATTCGGGGGGCGACTGTGAGTGCTTCTGCACAGCTGTGGCTGCCTATGCCCAGGCCTGCCACGATGCCGGCCTGTGTGTGTCCTGGCGGACTCCGGACACCTGTCGTGAGTCGGGCTCTGTCCGTGGTGCTGAAGGGTGGAGCAGCCGGGCGGGGGAAGAGGTGCAGCCGCCTCTGTAGGGGCACTGCCCTGGGCCTGAGCCGCACACAGACACCTGACATGCATGTGGCTACAGTGAGTGTGATTTCCCACACACAGAGGCAGACCTGCGCAAAACCACCAGTCAGGCTGTCCCAGCACCAGATGGCTCCTGGGGGATGGGACGGGGGTTCCAAGGGCAGGGCTGGGGAGTGGAGGGGAAGGTAAGGTGCCACCCGCCTGACGTCCTGCATGTCTGGGACAAACCCAGGTCTGGCCCTGTGGACACCGGCCCCCACGCCAGGCGGGACTGCCCAGCACAGCAGGGGCGAGGGCCAGTGGGTGCCTCCTTAGCCTCTGTCCTCTGTGCCCCAGCCTTATTCTGTGACTTCTACAACCCACACGGGGGCTGTGAGTGGCACTACCAGCCCTGTGGGGCTCCATGCCTGAAAACCTGCCGGAACCCCAGCGGGCACTGCCTGGTGGACCTGCCCGGCCTGGAAGGTGAGGGGCAGCCTGTCCTGGATGAAGCCTCCTGTCTTTGGGTTTCTGAGCGTGCATCGGGGGGCTGGGGTTCTCCAGGGATGTGGCGTAGGCTCCCATGAGCTGCACATGCAAGCCTCCAGGGCAGGGCCCTGCTGGCTGGTGGGGGGTGGCTACTTCCCGCAGCACAGAGCCCCTGGCTCGAGAGGCTAAAGGACCCCAATGAGTCTTTCCCTCACTCTGCTGGCCCCAGGCTGCTACCCGAAGTGCCCCCCCAGCCAGCCCTTCTTCAACGAGGACCAGATGAAGTGTGTGGCCCAGTGTGGCTGCTACGACGAGGACGGAAACTACTATGATGTGGGGGCCAGGGTCCCCACAGCAGAGAACTGCCAGAGCTGGTAAGGGGGTGGGGAGCAGGTGGGGCTGGGGGGGCAGGGCTGGGGAGCAGGCCCTGCAGGCAGCCCCCCAGGCCCTCAGCTCAACTCTCCCCTGCCCGCAGTAACTGCACGCCCAGTGGCATCCAGTGTGCCCACAGCCTTGAGGGTAAGGAAGGGTCGGGTGGGGGCGGTCGAGGCCGGGGCCCGGGGCTCAGAGGCACCGGATGACTCTGCTGGCCCCGTCCCCAGCCTGCACCTGCACCTATGAGGACAGGACCTATGGCTACCAGGACATCATCTACAACACAACCGATGGACTTGGCGCCTGCCTGATTGCCATCTGTGGAAGCAACGGCACCATTGTCAGGAGAGCGGTGGCATGCCCGGGAACCCCGGCCACAACGCCGTTCACCTTCACCACTGCCTTGGTCCCTGGCTCCACAACGAGTAAGCCTTGCCTGGTCCTGAGGCCTGGTACTGTCTGTGTGATAAGGGACTCCTTGGACACCCAGTGCAGGTGCCCCAGATGGTAGTGATGGTCGGGTCCCAACCGCTAACCTGATGGGCTCTCTGGGGGTGCACAGCCCCCAACACCCTGTGTGTCTCCAGGGGCTCCCCAGAAAGCCTCAGCACAATGATTGATGGGTGACCTTGAGGGGACAATAAAGCTTCCCCAGATCCACCCCAGCCCTCAGTACGGCCTTCCCCAGACTCTGCCCCAGCCCACCCCACGGCCTTTCCCAGCTGGCGGGCTCCCTCAAGGCCAGGATGCCAGGGCCTGGTTCCTCATGCAGAAGTGGCCCTAACCAAGGCTGAGGCAGGTGCCTAGGGTCCCCAGTATCCCACAGGGGTGGGGCTAGCCCTGGGGCAAGAGTCCTCTGGGGCCCCTCCTCCTTGTGAAGCCAGGACTGGAGGATGCTGAGCCAGGACCCCTCTCTCTTGCATCTTGCAGGTCCGGCCCTCCCGCTCCCCACCGTGTGTGTCCGGGAGGTCTGCCGCTGGTCTGACTGGTACAATGGGCACCACCCAGAGCCTGGACTGGGAGGTGGAGACTTCGAGAACTTTGAAAACCTGAGGCAGAGGGGGTTCCAGGTATGCCCTGAGCCGGCAGACATCGAGTGCCGGGCTGAGCAGCTTCCCGACATGCCACTGGAGAAGCTGGGCCAGCAGGTGGACTGTGACCTCACGCGGGGGCTGCTGTGTGCCAACAGCCAGCAAAGCCCCCCGCTCTGCCATGACTATGAGCTGCGGGTTCTCTGCTGTGAATACGTGCCCTGTGGCACCTCCCCGGCCCCGGGCACCAGCATCCAGCCCTCCCTCAGTGCCAGCACAGAGCCTGCCGTGCCCACCCTCACCCAGACCACAGCAACTGAACACACCACCCTGTGGGTGACCCCGAGCGCCAGGTCGACGGTCACCAGCCCAGTCAGCAGCCCGCCGGTCCCAGCCACCACTGCCTGCCAGCCCCGCTGTCAGTGGACTGAGTGGTTTGATGAGGACTACCCCAAGTCTGAGGAGTTGGGGGGGGATGTTGAGTCCTACGATAAGATCAGGGCCGCGGGAGGGCACCTATGCAAGCAGCCGGAGGACATCGAGTGCCAGGCCGAGAGCTTCCCCAACTGGACCCTGGCGCAGGTAGGGCAGAAGGTGCACTGTGACGTCCGCTTTGGCCTGGTGTGCAGGAACTGGGAGCAGGAGGGCGTGTTCAAGATGTGCTACAACTACAGAATCCGGGTCCTGTGCTGCAGCACTGACCACTGCAGGGGACGCTCCACAACCCCGCCACCCGCCACGGAGCCACAGACGGCCACCACCACCACCAGTACCCTGATCTCAACGCTGCCACCTATAAGTAGCCCAGGGGTGACCAGGGCTCCCCCGCCCACCACCACAGCAGTCCCCACCCTTTCAGTACAGACATCCCCTAGATACACGGGCACCCTTGTTACAACCACCACGGGAGGCCCCACGGCTCCTTCAGGTTCCACAGAATCCACGGTCCCACAGGTGGCCACATCTACCTTTCCAACTCACTCAACCCTGCCAGGGACCACGAGGAGCTCAGGCACACGGGGCCCCTCGAAGGCCCCCATGCCGGCCCCAACGACAATGGCAACGTCCGGAGCTCGCCCGACAGGCACAGCCAGCACCGTCTCCAAAGAGCCGCTGCCCATTACCCCGGTGCCAACACTCACGAGCCATCGTTCCACCACTCAGGCTGAGACCAGCACACCCAGGCCAGAGACAACCACTCAGGGCCCCTTCCCTGAGGCCACCACCGGCCAGGGCACGACCCGATGTCAGCCGAAGTGTGAGTGGACAGAGTGGTTTGATGTGGACTTCCCAACCTCGGGGGTCACAGGTGGGGACATGGAAACCTTTGAAAACATCAGGACTGCTGGGGGCAAGATGTGCTGGGCACCAGAGCGCATAGAGTGCCGGGCAGAGAACTACCCCGAGGTGAGCATTGACCAGATCGGGCAGGTGCTGACCTGCAGCTTGGAGACAGGGTTGATCTGCAGGAACGAGGACCAGTCAGGCAGGTTCAACATGTGCTTCAACTACAATGTGCGTGTGCTCTGCTGTGATGACTACAGCCACTGCCCCAGCACGGCCGCCCCAACACCCACCTCCTCCACACAGGCACCCAAACCCACCTCCACAGGGGTCGCCATGGGGGCCACCACCTCCACGGCCACTGTCTCCACAGCCACTGCTGCTACAGGGGCCACCACCTCCACGGCCACTGTCTCCACAGCCACTGCTGCCACAGGGACCACCCCCACAGCCACTGTCTCCACAGCCACTGCTGCCACAGGGGCCACCACCCCCACGGCCACTGTCTCCACAGCCACTGCTGCCACAGGGGCCACCACCCCCACGGCCACTGTCTCCACAGCCACTACCGCCACAGGGGCCACAACCCCCACAGCCACGGCCTCCACAGCCACTGCTGTCACAGGGGCCATCACCCCCACAGCTACTGCTCCCACAGTCACTGCTGCCACAGGGGCTACCACCCCCACAGCCACTGCCACCTGGAGCACCAGGTCACCAGCAGTAACAAGACCCTCAACTCCAGCCACCACTAAAATTGGCCCCAACTCCTCAAAGACCACAGAGAGGGTGTCCCTCCCCAGTCCCTCTGCCCCTCCAGCTTCCATGACCACCCTCCTCCCTACCAGGAGGCAGCAAACCTCCCAGGCTCTGACCACACCTACCAGTCCAGCTGTGACCAGCAAATCCACAACGTCCCCCATGGTGACCACCCCTGTGCACACAACCCTGAGGACTACCAGCTCTGGGCACACCATAAGGACCACTCTGCCCTCCAGTTCCCCATCTCCCAGTACGGGCTGTGTGCCTCACTGCACCTGGACAGACTGGTTGGATGAGGATTATCCTAGCCCTGGCCCTGACGGTGGGGACTTCGAGACCTACTCCAACATCCGCGCAGCCGGGGGAGCCGTCTGTGAGCAGCCGCTGCACCTCCAGTGCCGAGCCCAGGCCCAGCCTGATGTTCCCCTGCAGGAGCTGGGCCAGGTCATAGAATGCAGCCTGGACTTCGGCCTGGTCTGCAGGAACCGTGAGCAGGTGGGCAAGTTCAAGATGTGTTTCAACTATGAAATCCGAGTGTTCTGCTGCAACTACAGCCATTGCACCAGTACCACGGCCACCAGCTCCATGGCCACACCCTCCTCCACTCTACCCTCTACCGTGGTCACCAAGAGTTCAGCCACCAGCTCTGTGGCCAAGGCCTCCTCCACTCCGCGGACCACCTGGATCCTTACAGAGCCAACCACTACAGCCACCGTGACCGTGTCCACAGGCTCCACTGCCATCCCCTCCTCCACCACAGGGACTGCTCAGACTCCCATAACGCTGACCATGACAGCCACCACAACTGTGGCCACTGGATCCACAGCCACCCCCTCCTCCAGCCCAGGGACCACAGCCACAACTGTGGCCACTGGCTCCATGGCCACACTAACCTCCACCCCATTTCCTACTAGTGTCACCACGACGGCAGCCACTGGCTCCACAGCAACCCCCTCATCCAGCCCAGAAACCACAGGCACCATTCCAGCACTTACCACCATAGCCACTACTGTGAGCACTGGCTCCATGGCCACACCATCCTCCACCCCATTTCCTACTAGTGTCACCACGACGGCAGCCACTGGCTCCACAGCAACCCTCTCCTCCAGTCCAGGGACTGCATCCACCCTTCCAGGGCTGATCACCACCACCACACCCACGACCACTGGCTCCACAGTGACACCCTCCTCCATCCCAGGGACCACCCAACCCCCTGGAGTGCTGACCAACACCACCACTACTGTGGCTACTGGCTCCAGGACAACACCCTCCACAACCGCACGGACTGCTAGTCCCCCGACAGCACTGACCACCACACCCACCATGCTCCCGGCCACTGGCTCCATCATCACCCCCTCCTCCACTCCAGGGACAACTCCCATCCCTGGAGGGCTGACCACCACGGCCACCACACCTGCAGCCAGCAGCACCCCAGCAACTCCCACTTCTGCCCCAGGGACCCCTGGCACATCCTTAGTGCTGACCACCACGGCCACCACATATGGGCAATCTCTGCCCCCCGGCAGTCCCAGCACGGTTCCTACTGCCTGGACTTCCATGGGCACCTCGGGGACCACCCACATCACAGGGCCCTCCACGGTAACTTCCCACACCTCAGCCGGACCCACTGGCACCGCCACGCATTCCACTCCCACTGTGTCCAGTCCTCACCCTCACGGCAGGACCACAGAGCCACCCCCTTCTCCGGGGAAGACCACCCCGGGCCTCACCACGGCCACCTCCAGGACCACGGCCACATCCAGAGAGACCCGGACCTCGACCCTGCTGCCTGGCAGCCCCACATCGGCCCCCACAACCTCGGTGGTGTCCACGGGCTGTGAGCCTCAGTGCGCCTGGTCGGAGTGGCTGGACTACAGCTACCCCGTGTCGGGGCTGTCCGGTGGGGACTTCGAGACCTACTCCAACATCCGCGCAGCCGGGGGAGCCGTCTGTGAGCAGCCGCTGCACCTCCAGTGCCGAGCCCAGGCCCAGCCTGATGTTCCCCTGCAGGAGCTGGGCCAGGTCATAGAATGCAGCCTGGACTTCGGCCTGGTCTGCAGGAACCGTGAGCAGGTGGGCAAGTTCAAGATGTGTTTCAACTATGAAATCCGAGTGTTCTGCTGCAACTACAGCCATTGCCCCAGCACCACGGCCACCAGCTCCACGGCCACACCCTCCTCCACTCTACCCTCTACCGTGGTCACCAAGACTTCAGCCACCAGCTCCGTGGCAAAGGCCTCCTCCACTCCACGGACCACCTGGATCCTTACAAAGCCAACCGCTACAGCCACTGTGACCCTGTCCACAGGCTCCACAGCCACCCCCTCCTCCACCACAGGGACTGTTCAGACTCCCGTAGCGCTGACCACGACAGCCACCACAACTGTGGCCACTGGATCCACAACTGTGGCCACTGGATCCACAGCCACCCCCTCCTCCAGCCCAGGGACCACAGCCACTACTGTGGCCACTGGCTCCATGGCCACACCAACCTCCACCCCATTTCCTACTAGTGTCACCACGACGGCAGCCACTGGCTCCACAGCAACCCTCTCCTCCAGTCCAGGGACTGCATCCACCCTTCCAGGGCTGATCACCACCACCACACCAGTGACCACTGGCTCCACAGTGACACCCTCCTCCATCCGAGGGACCACTCAAACCCCTGGAGTGCTGACCAACACCACCACTACTGTGGCCACTGGCTCCAGGACAACATCCTCCACAACCCCACAGACTGCTGGTCCTTCCCCAGCACTGACCACGACGCCCACCATGCTCCCGGCCACTGGCTCCATCATCACCCCCTCCTCCATTCCAGGGACAACACCCATCCCCCGAGTGCTGACCACCATGACCACCACACCTGCAGCCAGCAGCACCCCAGCAACTCCCACTTCTGCCCCAGGGACCCCTGGCACATCCTTAGTGCTGACCACCACAGCCACCACATATGGGCGATCTCTGCCCCCCAGCAGTCCCAGCACGGTTCCTATGACCTGGACTTCCATGGGCACCTCGAGGACCACCCACATCACAGAGCCCTCCACGGCAACTTCCCACACCTCAGCCGGACCCACTGGCACCGCCACGCACTCCACTCCCACTGTGTCCAGTCCTCACCCTCACGGCAGGACCACAGAGCCACCCCCTTCTCCGGGGAAGACCACCCCGGGCCTCACCACGGCCACCTCCAGGACCACGGCCACATCCAGAGAGACCCGGACCTCGACCCTGCTGCCTGGCAGCCCCACATCGGCCCCCACAACCTCGGTGGTGTCCACGGGCTGTGAGCCTCAGTGCGCCTGGTCGGAGTGGCTGGACTACAGCTACCCCGTGTCGGGGCTGTCCGGTGGGGACTTCGAGACCTACTCCAACATCCGCGCAGCCGGGGGAGCCGTCTGTGAGCAGCCGCTGCACCTCCAGTGCCGAGCCCAGGCCCAGCCTGATGTTCCCCTGCAGGAGCTGGGCCAGGTCATAGAATGCAGCCTGGACTTCGGCCTGGTCTGCAGGAACCGTGAGCAGGTGGGCAAGTTCAAGATGTGTTTCAACTATGAAATCCGAGTGTTCTGCTGCAACTACAGCCATTGCCCCAGCACCACGGCCACCAGCTCCACGGCCACACCCTCCTCCACTCTACACTCTACCGTGGTCACCAAGACTTCGGCCACCAGCTCCGTGGCCAAGGCCTCCTCCACTCCGCGGACCACCTGGATCCTTACAGAGCCAACCGCTACAGCCACCCCCTCCTCCACCACAGGCACTGCTGAGACTCCCATAGCGCTGACCACGACAGCCACCACAACTGTGGCCACTGGATCCACAGCCACCCCCTCATCCAGCCCAGGGACCACAGGCACCATTCCAGCGCTTACCACCATAGCCACTACTGTGACCACTGGCTCCATGGCCACGCCATCCTCCACCCCATTTCCTACTAGTGTCACCACGATGGCAGCCACTGGCTCCACAGCAACCCTCTCCTCCAGTCCAGGGACTGCATCCACCCTTCCAGGGCTGATCACCACCACCACACCCATGACCACTGGCTCCACAGTGACACCCTCCTCCATCCCAGGGACCACCCAACCCCCTGGAGTGCTGACCAACACCACAAGTACTGTGGCTACTGGCTCCAGGACAACATCCTCCACAACCCCACAGACTGCTGGTCCTTCCCCAGCACTGACCACCACGCCCACCATGCTCCCGGCCACTGGCTCCGTCATCACCCCCTCCTCCACTCCAGGGACAACTCCCATCCCCGGAGGGCTGACCACCACGGCCACCACACCTGCAGCCAGCATCACCCCAGCAACTCCCACTTCTGCCCCAGGGACCCCTGGCACATCCTTAGTGCTGACCACCACGGCCACCACATATGGGCGATCACTGCCCCCCGGCAGTCCCAGCACGGTTCCTACTGCCTGGACTTCCATGGGCACCTCGGGGACCACCCACATCACAGGGCCCTCCACGGTAACTTCCCACACCTCAGCCGGACCCACTGGCACCGCCACGCACTCCACTCCCACTGTGTCCAGTCCTCACCCTCACGGCAGGACCACAGAGCCACCCCCTTCTCCGGGGAAGACCACCCCGGGCCTCACCACGGCCACCTCCAGGACCACGGCCACATCCAGAGAGACCCGGACCTCGACCCTGCTGCCTGGCAGCCCCACATCGGCCCCCACAACCTCGGTGGTGTCCACGGGCTGTGAGCCTCAGTGCGCCTGGTCGGAGTGGCTGGACTACAGCTACCCCGTGTCGGGGCTGTCCGGTGGGGACTTCGAGACCTACTCCAACATCCGCGCAGCCGGGGGAGCCGTCTGTGAGCAGCCGCTGCACCTCCAGTGCCGAGCCCAGGCCCAGCCTGATGTTCCCCTGCAGGAGCTGGGCCAGGTCATAGAATGCAGCCTGGATTTCGGCCTGGTCTGCAGGAACCGTGAGCAGGTGGGCAAGTTCAAGATGTGTTTCAACTATGAAATCCGAGTGTTCTGCTGTAACTACAGCCATTGCCCCAGCACCACGGCCACCAGCTCCACGGCCACACCCTCCTCCACTCTATCCTCTACCGTGGTCACCAAGACTTTGGCCACCAGCTCCGTGGCCAAGGCCTCCTCCACTCCACGGACCACCTGGATCCTTACAAAGCCAACCACTACAGCCACCGTGACCGTGTCCACAGGCTCCACAGCCACCCCCTCCTCCAGCCCAGGGACCACAGCCACTACTGTGGCCACTGGCTCCATGGCCACACCATCCTCCACCCCATTTCCTACTAGTGTCACCACGACGGCAGCCACTGGCTCCACAGCAACCCTCTCCTCCAGTCCAGGGACTGCATCCACCCTTCCAGGGCTGATCACTACCACCACACCCATGACCACTGGCTCCACAGTGACACCGTCCTCCATCCCAGGGACCACCCAACCCCCTGGAGTGCTGACCAACACAACAAGTACTGTGGCTACTGGCTCTAGGGCAACACCCTCCACAACCGCACAGACTGCTAGTCCCCCGACAGCACTGACCACCACGCCCACCATGCTCCCGGCCACTGGCTCCATCATCACCCCCTCCTCCACTCCACGGACCACCTGGATCCTTACAGAGCCAACCACTACAGCCACCGTGACCGTGTCCACAGGCTCCACAGCCACCCCGTCATCCACCACAGGGACTGCTCAGCCCCCCATAGTGCTGACCACCACAGCCACCACAACTGCGGCTACTGGATCCACAGCCATCCCTTCCTCCAGTCCAGGGACTGCATCCACCCTTCCAGGGCTGATCACCACCACCACACCCACGACCACTGGCTCCACAGTGACACCCTCCTCCATCCCAGGGACCACCCAAACCCCTGGATTGCTGACCAACACCACCGCTGCTGTGGCCACTAGCTCCAGGACAACACACTCCACAACCCCACAGACTACTAGTCCCCCAACAGCACTGACCACTGTGGCCACCACGCTCACAGCCACTGGTTCTATCATCACCCCCTCCTCCACACCAGGGACAACTCCCATCTCCGGAGGGCTGACCACCACGGCCACCACACCTGCCGCCAGCATCACCCCAGCAACTCCCACTGCTGCCCCGGGGACCACTGGCACATCCTTAGTGCTGACCACCACAGCCACCACATATGGGCGATCCCTGCCCCCCAGCAGTCCCAGCACGGTTCCTACTGCCTGGACTTCCATGGGCACCTCGGGGACCACCCACATCACAGGGCCCTCCACGGTAACTTCCCACACCTCAGCCAGACCCACTGGCACCGCCACGCACTCCACTCCCACTGTGTCCAGTCCTCACCCTCACGGCAGGACCACAGAGCCACCCCCTTCTCCGGGGAAGACCACCCCGGGCCTCACCACGGCCACCTCCAGGACCACGGCCACATCCAGAGAGACCCGGACCTCGACCCTGCTGCCTGGCAGCCCCACATCGGCCCCCACAACCTCGGTGGTGTCCACGGGCTGTGAGCCTCAGTGCGCCTGGTCGGAGTGGCTGGACTACAGCTACCCCGTGTCGGGGCTGTCCGATGGGGACTTCGAGACCTACTCCAACATCCGCGCAGCCGGGGGAGCCGTCTGTGAGCAGCCGCTGCACCTCCAGTGCCGAGCCCAGGCCCAGCCTGATGTTCCCCTGCAGGAGCTGGGCCAGGTCATAGAATGCAGCCTGGACTTCGGCCTGGTCTGCAGGAACCGTGAGCAGGTGGGCAAGTTCAAGATGTGTTTCAACTATGAAATCCGAGTGTTCTGCTGCAACTACAGCCATTGCCCCAGCACCACGGCCACCAGCTCCACGGCCACACCCTCCTCCACTCTACCCTCTACCGTGGTCACCAAGACTTCGGCCACCAGCTCCATGGCCAAGACCTCCTCCACTCCACGGACCACCTGGATCCTTACAAAGCCAACCACTACAGCCACTGTGACCGTGTCCACAGGCTCCACAGCCACCCCCTCCTCCAGCCCAGGGACCACAGCCACTACTGTGGCCACTGGCTCCATGGCCACACCAACCTCCACCCCATTTCCTACTAGTGTCACCACGACGGCAGCCACTGGCTCCACAGCAACCCTCTCCTCCAGTCCAGGGACTGCATCCACCCTTCCAGGGCTGATCACCACCACCACACCAGTGACCACTGGCTCCACAGTGACACCCTCCTCCATCCCAGCGACCACTCAAACCCCTGGAGTGCTGACCAACACCACCAGTACTGTGGCCACTGGCTCCAGGACAACATCCTCCACAACCCCACAGACTGCTGGTCCTTCCCCAGCACTGACCACCACACCCACCATGCTCCCGGCCACTGGCTCCATCATCACCCCCTCCTCCACACCAGGGACAACTCCCATCTCCGGAGGGCTGACCACCACGGCCACCACACCTGCAGCCAGCAGCACCCCAGCAACTCCCACTTCTGCCCCAGGGACCCCTGGCACATCCTTAGTGCTGACCACCACGGCCACCACATATGGGCGATCCCTGCTCCCCGGCAGTCCCAGCACGGTTCCTACTGCCTGGACTTCCATGGGCACCTCGGGGACCACCCACATCACAGGGCCCTCCACGGTAACTTCCCACACCTCAGCCGGACCCACTGGCACCGCCACGCACTCCACTCCCACTGTATCCAGGCCTCACCCTCACGGCAGGACCACTGAGCCACCCCCTTCTCCGGGGAAGACCACCCCAGGCCTCACCACGGCCACCTCCAGGACCACGGCCACATCCAGAGAGACCCGGACCTCGACCCTGCTGCCTGGCAGCCCCACATCGGCCCCCACAACCTCGGTGGTGTCCACGGGCTGTGAGCCTCAGTGCGCCTGGTCGGAGTGGCTGGACTACAGCTACCCCGTGTCGGGGCTGTCCGGTGGGGACTTCGAGACCTACTCCAACATCCGCGCAGCCGGGGGAGCCGTCTGTGAGCAGCCGCTGCACCTCCAGTGCCGAGCCCAGGCCCAGCCTGATGTTCCCCTGCAGGAGCTGGGCCAGGTCATAGAATGCAGCCTGGACTTCGGCCTGGTCTGCAGGAACCGTGAGCAGGTGGGCAAGTTCAAGATGTGTTTCAACTATGAAATCCGAGTGTTCTGCTGCAACTACAGCCATTGCCCCAGCACCACGGCCACCAGCTCCACGGCCACACCCTCCTCCACTCTACCCTCTACCGTGGTCACCAAGACTTCGGCCACCAGCTCTGTGGCCAAGGCCTCCTCCACTCCACGGACCACCTGGATCCTTACAGAGCCAACCGCTACAGCCACTGTGATCGTGTCCACAGGCTCCACTGCCACCCCCTCCTCCACCACAGGGACTTCTCAGCCCCTTAGAGTGCTGACCACGACAGCCACCACAACTGCAGCTACTGGATCCACAGCCACCCCTTCGTCCACCCTGGGTACAGCTCAGACCCCCATAGCACTGATCACAACAGCCACCACAACTGTGGCCACTGGATCCACAGCCACCCCTTCCTCCAGCCCAGGGACCACAGGCACCATTCCAGCACTTACTACAACAGCCACTACTGTGGCCACTGGCTCCATGGCCACGCGCTTCTTCACCCCATTTCCTACTAGTGTCACCACGACAGCAGCCACTGGTCCCCCAGGCCCCCGCTCCTCCAGCCCAGGGACTGCACCCACCCTTCCAGTGCTGAACATCTCCACCACACCCACAACCACTGGCTCCATGGTGACCCCCTCCTCCATCACAGGGACCACCCAAACCTCTGGAGTGCTGACCAACACCACCACAGCTGTTGCCACTGGCTCCTTGCCAACACCCTCCACCACCCCATGGAGTGCTGGTCCTCCCCCAGCACTGACCACCGTGGCCACCACACTCACGGCCACTGGCTCCATCATCACCCCTTCCTCTACTCCAGGGACAACTCCCATTTCCCAAAAGCTGACCACCACGACCACCACACCTGCAGCCAGCAGCACCCCAGCAACTCCCTCTTCTGTCCCAGGGACCACCCACACACCCCCAGTGCTGACCACCACAGCCACCACAGCTGCAGCCACCAGCTCCATGACCACTCCCTCTTCCACTTTAGGGACCCCCCCGATCCTCACAGAGCCAACCACTACAACCACCGTGAACATATCCACAGGCTCCACAACCACCCTGTCCTCTACTTTAGGGACTGTGGTAATTCCTACCACAGCCACCACAGTGGCAGCCACTGGCTCTGCAGCCACCCCCTCCTCCACCCCAGGAACTGCTCAGACCCCCAGTGTGTTTCCCACCACAACCACTACTACTACAGCCACTGGTGCCATAGCAACGCCCTCCTCCAGACCAGGGACTGGAGGCACGACAGCGGCCACCAGCTCCACGGCCACACCCTCCTCCATCACAGGGACCACCTGGATCCTCACAGAGCCAACCACTACAGTCACCATTATTTCTTCCATGGGCTCCACAACCACCTTGTCCTCCACTTCAGGGAATGTGGTAATTCCTACCACAGCCACCACGACTGCGGCCACTGGCTCCAAAACCACTCTCTCCTCCAGCCCAGAGACTACACGCACCGTTTCAGTGCTGACCACCACAGCCACCACGAACATGGCCACCAGATCCACGGCTACCCCCTCCTCCACTGCGGGGACAGCTCACATCCCCAAGGTGCTGACCACCACAGCCACCGTGCCCACAGCCACTGGCTCCACAGTGCCCAGCTCATCTGCCCTCAGGACCATCCGAACCCCCACAGTGCTCCCCAGCAGCTTGCCCACCTTCAGCATGACCACTGCGTCCACCTCAGTCCTCACCACCCTCATGCCCACTGGCTTCCCCAGCACCTCCTTCTCGACTCCGTGCTTCTGTAGGGCATTTGGACAGCTCTTCTCACCTGGTGAGTCGATGTGGATGATGCCCCTGTGCCCTTTCTCCCGTGCCATACCAACCCGGGTCTGCCTGTCTGGGGAGCCAGTTGCTCACAGTCTATCTCCACCGGCCTCACTCTGTCCCCACTGGCCTCACTCTGTCCCCACCGGCCTCACTCACTCCACTGGCCTCACTCGGTCCCCACCGGCTTCATTCAGTCTCCACTCTCCCTGGCCCCTTCCCTGAATGACCACTCCCTCCTGCACTGACCCCTGTCTTTGCCGTCCTAAACTCTGGCTTGCCTGTCGCTGGGAGTGGCTTATCATCCTGTCTTGTCCCCTACAGGGGAGGTCATCTACAATAAGACCGACCGAGCTGGCTGCCAGTTCTATGCCGTGTGCAACCAACACTGTGACATTGACCGCTTCCAGGGCCCCTGCCCCACCTCCCCGCCACCAGTGCCCTCCACCCCACCATCCCCGCCCTCCCCTGCCCCTGGCTGTGACAATGCTGTCCCTCCTCGGCAGGTGGGTTCTGCCTGCCCTCCGCCTCCCCTGCTATGCACACAGGGCCTGGGTCTGCTGAGGCACAGCCAGGGCTCAGCCCCTGAGGTCTGTCTCAGTGACCCTCCACCCATAGCTCCAGTTGGAGGAGGCGCACAGGGTCTGGGGGCCAGGCCAACATGGGGGGACCACCTTTTCCGGGCAGACTCTTGTGGCCAGCAGGGGCTGTGCACCATGAGGGATGGGATAACCAGGGGATGGGTCCGTGAGCCAGTCCCAGTGAGCACCTGCCTGTTCCCTGCCACAGGTCAATGAGTCCTGGACCCTGGAGAACTGCACTGTGGCGCAGTGCGTGGGTGACAACCGTGTCGTCCTGCTGGAGCCAAAGCCCGTGGCCAACGTCACCTGTGTGAACAAGCACCTGCCCATCAAAGTGTCGGAGCCAAGCCAGCCCTGCACCTTCCACTACGAGTGCGAGTGTGAGCGAGAGGGTGGCCACGGGACTCCCCTGGGGGCAGGTGGAGCGGGGCAGCCTCGGGACCCCCTGGGGGCAGGTGCATCGGTGCAACTGTGGGACTCCCCAGGGGCAGGTGCAGTGGGGTGGCCGCGGGACCCCCTGGGGGCAAGTGCAGCGGGGCGTGCTGGCGGCGAGTCTGGAGTGGTGGGGGTGCATGGAGAGGCGCCTGGGAGACAGGTGGCATCCCTTCAGGAAACCGCCATGCGCCATGCCGTCCTGGCCACAGCGGTGCACATGGTGTGCGCCATTAGTCTGCAGGCTCCGTGTCCACCGGGCTGAACATGCTGACGCAGCCCACAGGAGAGGGGCAGAGGCGTTTGCTGAGCTTGTCTGCACATCCGCCTGTGTGGCTTGAAAGGAAGCCTGTCCAGGGCTTTCTGAGGCCGGGAGAAGCTCAGGATGGAAGCGGGAGCCCAGAGAAGCTATGGTCTCCTGGGTCTTCACAGCAGCTCCCATCATAGCGGCACCATCCCTAAGAGGTGGTGGGGTTCTCACTCCTCCCATGTCCTTGGCCCCGGGCTGCTCTTCCAAACCTCCACAGGACAGGGGGTTAGACGACACAGATGCGCTCTTCCTCCTGAAGCTGGAAGGCTGAGATCCAGGCGGGCAGGGCCACGCTCCCTGTGGAGGGTCTGGGGAGGTCCTTCCTGCCTCTCCCAGCCTGGGGGCTCCAGGCATCCCCTGGCCGTGGCTGCATCACTCCCGTGTCCTCCTCTGTCTCTCTGTGGTCTCCCGACTCTGTGTGTCTGTCTCTGTCCTGTCCCCCACAAGGGTGCTGGCCACTGGATTTACAGTCCATCCGGGTAGTCCCCGATGATGCCAACATAAGATGCTTCACTAATCACTCTGCAAAGACGCTTTCTCCTGGCAAGGCCACGAGTGGAGGTTCTGCGGCGGCCGTAGATTTGGGGGGGCACCGTAGATTCTACATACCACACCCACTTTATAGATGAGGCTGCTGAGGCCAAGGGGCAGTCGCGGTGGCGACACTGGCTGCCGAGAAGCCTGGGGTGCGAGGGGACCACCACGGAGCCAGCCAGCCCGTCGGTGCCTCTGTATCCCACAGGCGTCTGCAGCGTGTGGGGGGGCTCCCACTACTCCACGTTTGACGGCACCACGTACTCCTTCCGGGGCAACTGCACCTACATCCTCATGAGAGAGATCCACGCGCGCCTTGGGAATCTCAGCCTCTACCTGGACAACCAGTACTGCGCGGCCTCCGCCGCCGCCAGCTGCCCCCGTGCCCTCGGCATCCATTACAAGTCCATGGAGATCGTCCTCACTGTCATCACGGTGCAGGGGAAGGAGGAGGGCCTGGTGAGTCCAGGCAGCCAGAGGGCAGCCCTCCTTGTGCCCAGGCTGTGTGTGGCAGTGTTGGGCATGTCCCAACCACACCCGGGCAGGTCGACTGCAGGCCGGGGGCCCAGCTGCTGCAGCGATGGCCCAGGGCCTGAGGCAGTTTCCGGGGGGCAGGGAAGGCTGTGGGGCCACCCCAGGTTGAATGCACCCTGCGACCCAAATGCAGCCAACTGGAGACTCCAGGCCCCCAGGGAAGAGCCAGCCTTTGGGTGGGGGTGCGTAGGCAGAGCCCCAAAGGCAAGCCCCGCTCCCAGAGCCCACCGGGCACTGCCTCCCAGCTCACGGGCTCCCCCGGCTGCCCCCAGATCTTGTTTGACCAAATTCGGGTGAGCAGTGGCTTCAGCAAGGACGGCGTGCTTGTGTCTATGATGGGGGCTGCCATGCGCGTGGACATTCCTGCCCTGGGTGTGAGCGTCACGTTCGACGGGCACGTGTTCCAGGCCCGGCTGCCCTACAGTCTCTTCCACAACAACACCGAGGGCCAGTGCGGTGAGCGCCACCCGCCAGGCGGGTCCTGCCCCACCAGGGCTGCCCCAGGGGCTGACGGCCCAGTGGGCAAAGGGGAAGCCTGCAGACGGGAATGAACTGGGGGAAGCCTCTGGAAAGGAATGAGCTTCAGGGTGGGGGGGAATCTGTGGAGGGAAATGCTCTCTGTGGGGGCAGCCCGTGAATGGGAATGAGCTGGGAGGGAAGCCTGTGGAGGGGAATGAGCCCGGGGAAGGGGTGCAAAAGGCTCCCCGGATTCCAGCCCCATGGTGACGCCCCGGCCTGCCCCCAGGCACCTGCACGAACAGCCAGAGGGACGATTGCCGCAGTCGGGATGGAACCACGGCCACCAGCTGCAAGGACATGGCCAAGACGTGGCTGGTCCCCGACAGCAGAAAGGACGGCTGCTGGGCCCCAACTGGCACGCCCCCCACTGCCGGCCCCACGGCCCCAACGTCTGGCGCACCCACCCCCAGCCAGTGCCCACCTCAGCCGCTCTGTGATCTGATGCTGAGCCAGTGAGTCCTCTCCTCCGGATGGGAGGCCCCAGGGTGCCCCTGCCTGCCCTTGCTCAGCTCCCTGGGGGCCTGGTGCCCTCCACCCCATCGCTCTGTCCACAGGGTCTTTGCCGAGTGCCATGACCTGGTGCCCCCCGGCCCATTCTTCAACGCCTGCATCAGCGACGGCTGCTGGGGCCACCCCAAGGTGTCCTGCCAGAGCCTGGAGGCCTACGCAGAGCTCTGCCGCGCACGGGGAGTGTGCAGTGACTGGCGGGGTGCCACTGGCGGCCTGTGCGGTGAGTGGGTGTGGCCTGCGCCCCCAGACCCCTCAGCCTCTCTGAGTGGCCTGTGTGGTGAGTGGGTGTGGCCTGTGCCCCCAGACTCCTTGGCCTCTCTGAGCGGCTTGTGTGGTGAGTTGCGGGCAGCTCTGGGCCCCCAGACCCCTTGGCCTCTCTGAGCAGCCTGTGCAGTGAGTGGGGGTGGGTGGTCCTGTACCCCACAGACCCCTCAGCCTCTCTGAGGGGCCTGTGCAGTGAGTGGGGGGCAGCCCTGCACCCCAGCCCCCTTAGCCTCTCTGACCTCTCTGCACCCACAGATCTCACCTGCCCGCCCACCAAAGTGTACAAGCCATGTGGCCCCATACAGCCTCCCTCCTGCAACTCCAGGTGAGTGCTGGATCTGGGGGAGCAGGAGGCCAGGGGGGCATCCTGCTGTGAGCCACAGATCTCTGGGGTGCCCCTGAGCCCAGGACTCCTTGAAAAACATCCCTGGCTGCTCCCAGTTGCCTTAGAGACAGAGCAGGCAGGAGGCGCGTCCCCACCCTCTCCAGACCCAACTCTGCCCTCACCTCCCCCCCATCCCCACCCCTGCCCCACCCATTCCCTCCCCCCCTGAGCCCCGCACTCCACTGTTCCTCTCCTTCCTGCTCCCCACTGCCCATCCTGGGGACTCACATGGATGAAGATACTGGGAAGCCTCGTGGACCTCAGGGTCCCCGGGCCACTCTTGTCGCCCTGTAGGAACCAGAGCCCACAGCTGGAGGGGCTGGCGGAGGGCTGCTTCTGCCCCAAAGACCAGATCCTCTTCAATGAACACACGGGCATCTGCGTGCAGGCTTGCCGTAAGCTCTGCCACCTGGGCCGGACCAAGTGCCTGCAGGGTGGGAGGGGCCGTCCCGGCTGCTCTGTGCTCTCCCCTCCCCCCAGCTGACCCCTGTGCCATGTTTGCCCCACCAGAGGCCCGGGACGGCCCCAGTGTGGCCCTGAGCCCCTGCAGAGCCCCCCTCCAGCCCTCTGAAGCCCCACAGGGAGGCTCTGTCCTTGTGCGATCCTGTTGTGGTTCCTCCCCTGAGCCCTGCCTCCCACCACCATGGCGGAGCCTCCTGTGCACTGACAGCTGGGCTCACAGTGCCCTGGCCTGAGCTCCAGCTACAAGACACCCTACAAGATTTCCAGGGGCTTCCATCCCAAGGGGAAGCTGGCGCCAGGCCTGAGAGCACCTCCCGTGGCCAGAGGCCCCTCTGCCTGCAATCTCAGCACCCTCAGTGACACTGTGCCCTTTCCTTTCCAGCCTGCGTGGGACCGGATGGCTTTCCCAAATCTGTGAGTGGCTCCACCCCCACCTGCCCTACCCAACCCTCTCTTGAGCTGAGGGAGGAAGAGAGCCTCCCCATCCCACTGGACAGCTGTAGGGCGCATGAGCGTGACGTGGACGTGCCGGTGGCTGGCTGGTGTGGGCTTCCTGCCCTGTCACTCTGGGCCGCTCGGGTGCCAGCCCGAGGGAGGGGGTGACCAGAGAGATGCCCAGGATTGGCCTGTGGCTGAGTGTGGTGGGGAGTCCTGGAGCCCCGTCCAGGAGCCCTCAGGAACCCTCTCGATCCCTTCCAGCCTGGGGAGCGGTGGGTCAGCAACTGCCAGGCCTGCGTGTGTGACGAGGGCTCAGTGTCAGTGCAGTGCCAGCCCGTGCCCTGTGAGGCCCAGGGCCAGCCCCCCACATGCAGCCGCCCTGGCTTCCAGACTGTGACCAGGCCCCGGGCCAACGACCCCTGCTGCCCTGAGACGCTGTGCGGTAAGAGCCCAAGGTGCAGAGGTGCCAGGCATGGGGTGGGGGGGATGGAGCCAGTGCCCGCCAGGGGCCTGCAGGGTGGGCACAGGAGAGCAGAGGAGAGCCACCGTGTCCTGGCTTGACCAGGTGAGACCACTCGGCAGAGAGAGCCTCCGGGCACTACATTGTCCTCCTAAAGATGAGGCCCGTATCCTCTGGCCTGCCCAGGAGTGGCCTGGGACATGGGGAGCCGCAGGGAGGTGGTCAAGGAAGGGGCCTGGAGGGAGCCCCCAAGGGCCGTGGGAGAAGTCAGGTCTCCGGGGAGGAGCCCACCCGGGGCTTACGCTGGGAACAATTGGTTGGGAGGAGGAGCAAGCAGCCCCGGGACCGCGCCCTCTGTCCTCCCACAGTGTGCAACACCAGCGCCTGTCCCCAGAGCCCGCCCGTGTGCCCGCCAGGCCAGGAGCTCGACCGCACCCAGGAGGAGGGCGACTGCTGTCCTACCTTCCGCTGCAGTGAGCAGGGCGGGGGTGGGGGGAACGGGCTCCTGGGTGGCCACGAGCCCGGGGGTGGGGGGTGCAAGAGGGCGGCTGAAGGAGGGACGGGCTCCTGGGTGGCCATGCGCCTGGCGGTGGGGGGCACAGGAGGGCGAGGGCATGGAGCACAGGCTTAGCTCCCTTTCCTTCTAGGACCTCAGCTGTGTACTTACAATGGCACCTTCTATGGGGTAAGGGCACAGCAGTGAGTGGGGGCGGCCCTGCACCCAGACATCTGTGTGGGATGCCCGGGGCCCTCTGAACCCCACTCCTTGTCATGACACTCCTGCCATGAGGGCAGATCCACACAGGGGCCCTGGGCACGACAAGGCTGGGACACACCTGGGACTCGGAGACCCCGTATGTCGTCAGCCGTGAGCTCCACACCTGCTGCCTCTGAGAGGTTACTCAGGGCCTCCCAGCAAGGACCTGGGGGCAGGACACACCTGCCTGGGGTCCCCGCCCACTCAGATTCCCTGCCCTACTGGATTCCCTGCCCACCAGGGGTGCATCCATTTAAGGGTGCTCCATTTGAGGGGTCCATGCTCAGCCAGGGGTGCTCCATTTGAGGGGTGCTCCATTGGGGGAAGAGACAACTTCCTGCGAGTCCCAACTAGTCACAGGGAGGAGTCCTGGCCCTGTTGCCCAGGACTCAGTGACCTCAGTGCCACTCTCCCACCGACTGCAGGTTGGTACAACCTTCCCAGGGGCCATTCCCTGCCACACGTGCACCTGCCTCTCTGGGGACACCCAGGATCCAATTGTGCAGTGTCAGGAGGATGCCTGTAATAATGCCACCTGCCCCCAGGTGAGCCCCCAGACACCCACCCCCAGGTGAGCCCCCAGACACCCACCCCCAGGTGAGCCCCCAGACACCCACCCCCAGGTGAGCCCCCAGACACCCGCCCCCAGGTGAGCCCCCAGACACCCACCCCCAGGTGAGCCCCCAGACACCCGCCCCCAGGTGAGCCCCCAGACACCCGCCCCCAGGTGAGCCCCCAGACACCCGCCCCCAGGTGAGCCCCCAGACACCCGCCCCCAGGTGAGCCTCCAGCTGCTGGGCAGACCCAGCCCCGAGTCACATTGACCTGCCTCCCCGGGGTTCTCTAGCTCAGCCTTTGCTGGGGTCATGTTTGTTCCCAAAGGGAGGGCATGAAGTAGGGTGACTAAGGGGCCTGAGGGTGGAACAGACCTGCAGGCTGCTGGGGACAGGGGCTAGCATCAGGTCCCAGGAAGAAAGGGGTAGGCGAAGAGAAGGTGCTGGGAACTGGGGCGAGGCTGAGCCGGATAACAGGGTGGGGCAGCTTCTGTGGGTATAGGTCCAGGCAGAGACAGGGATAAGGGCCACCAGACCACTGGGGTGTTGATGGCAGGGCAGGCTGGGCTGGGACGGGCACTGGAGGAGAGGGGTACAGCCTGACACCCTCCTGTCCCCACAGGGCTTTGAGTACAAGAGCGTGGCCGGACAGTGCTGCAGGGAGTGCGTGCAGACAGCCTGCCTCACGCCCGACGGCCGGCCAGTCCCGGTAACAGTGGAGGCGTGTGGGGCAGGTCTCAGCTCTGCACCCTCCGCAGACCTTCGTCCTCAATGGGGCTTGGTGCAAGAGATAATCCCTACTCAGCTTCCACTCTCTGCCCTGCACTTCAGCTGAACGAAACCTGGGTCAACAGCCCCGTGGACAACTGCACCGTGTACCGCTGTGAGGTTGAGAGCGGACTCCATTTGCTGACCCCACAGCCTGTATCCTGCCCAGATGTGTCCAGCTGCAGGGTGTGTGCTGGAGGCCCCGCCACTGCCTGGGAGGCCCCGTCTACCAGGGAGGCCCCGCCCCTTCCCTGGAGGCCTGCCCTTGCCTGGGAGGCCCCAACCCTGTCTGGGAGCTCCTGGGAGGCTTCCCCACTACCCTAGGAGGCCACACCCACCAGGGAATCCCCGAGGCACCCACCCCCAGGTGAGCCCACACACACACCCACCCCCCAGGTGAGTCCCCAGGCACCCACCCCCAGGTGAGACCCCCAGACACCCACCCCTAGGTGAGACCCCCAGACACCCACCCCCAGGTGAGTCCCCAGGCACCCCACAGCCCTGGCCCTGTCTTTGGCCCCACAGGGGAGCCTCAGAAAAACCGGCTGCTGCTACTCCTGTGAGGAAGAGGGTAAGTGGAGGCTGCCTTCCCACTCCCACCCTTCGGCTTCATCCCTTCCATTCCTGCCCAGACGGCAGCTCTGGGCAGCAGTGAGATTGCGGCCTCCAGACTCCAGCCTTGGTCCAGGAGGGCCATGGGAGGGGTGGTCCCGTGGGGAGGGTCCACCCACCAGGTCCTCAGAGCCAGGGTCCGCTGGGGCCTTCATCCACCTTTCCTCCTCCCAGATTCCTGTCAAGTCCGCGTCAACACAACCGTCCTGCGTCACCAGGGCTGCGAGACCCAGGCTGCGGTCAACATCACCTTCTGTGAGGGCTCCTGCCCCGGAGTGTCCAAGTGAGTGGGCTCCTGGCCCTGTGCCAACAGCACACGCGTGCGCTGGGTCTGTCCTGGCCCATCTGCTGGCCAGTATCCCGCTCTGGGTCAGGAGGGCCTACACCAGCTCCAGGAAGGAGGAAAGCAGCTCCCCAGCAGGACCCCCCTCCACATCCATCAGCAGAAAGCCTGGGGCCGCTCTCCCAGCCAGGCCAGGGCCCTGCTGAGCTGAGCCAGGTGGCCCAGAGCTCCCAGCCGCAAACCCAGGTCCGGGTAAACCCCTAGGGAGAGTGGGCGGAACCAGAGCTTTCCATGGAGACCCCACGGCTTGCCACAGCGGCCAGCTGTCAGCAGGAGGGGCCAGGAGGGTTGACCCTTGGCTAGAAGAGGCAGGACGAAGGGTCGAGGTATGCTCAGGGTCAGCAGGACTGGAGGACCTGGTTCAGACAGGGGAAGGGCCACAGAAGACAGAACCTGGGCCAAGGGACCCTGGAAGCCCAGAGCCGCCCCATTCTGGGAAGCTGAAGCCCCATGTGCCCAGAGGAGGCCACTGTGGACAGAGGGGTGGCCGTCTGGCCCAGGACTCCAGAAGCCCACGTGTCACCGCAGCTGGGCAGAGAAACGGTGGGGCTCAGATGGCTGGTCTGAGGGCCACCCTGCATCCACAGGTACTCAGCAGAGGCCCAGGCCATGCGGCACCAGTGCACCTGCTGCCAGGAGAAGCAGTTCCACGAGGAGACCGTGCCCTTGCGCTGTCCCGATGGCTCAGCCGTCCTGCACACATACATCCACGTGGATGAGTGTGGCTGCATGCCCTTCTGTGTCCCCGAGCCCGTGGCTCCCACACACACACCTGGCTTCCCGCTCTAGGAGGCCACTGTCTGACGGTGTTCTGCCTCCGACCCCACGCCCTGTCCACCTGGAGCCAGAACGCACATTGCCAGACCATGACCACCTTGGGCCTGCTCCATGGAACCCCCGGGCCTCTGTGTGGCACCCCGTGCCTCCATGCTCCTGCTGCCCACCCCGGGGGTAGAACCGACGCCCGGAAGGGTGAGGAGCCAGCAGGATGCCTTTCAGGAAAGCGTCACTCAGGAGTTCTGCCCTGGTAGAGCCTGTGGCCCATCTTGGCCTTGCCCCACCCTGAGGTCACTGGAGCAGACTAAGCATGTGCAGGCCTGTGTGTTCCCGCCACGCCCAGAGCCATGGCCAGAGCCCCCGGGCAGCACGGATCCCAGCTGGCCGTGTCCTGCCGCTGGGTCCAGGCAAGGCTGGCTGCTGCTGGGAAGCCGCACCAGGCAATGCGTCCGCCCATCCGTGCCTACTGCAGGGTACCTCGGGGCTGAGGCCACAGTGGCCACATCAGAAGGGTCAGCATCCCAAAGCCCGTCTGCTCAGCTCAGCCCAGTTCTGCAAATAAACCCTGAGCATCGCCTACATTTCCTGTCCCAGCGTCTTTTCTTGCATATCGTCTCTCCCAGGCTGTCCATGTCCTCTGAGGGCTGCCTGCCTGGGCCCTGCCGGCCGGAGGACACATCCAGGGGATGGTACAGAATCCCCATCAGCCGCTGAGGGGTCAGGAAGTCTCTGTGAAGGCCAGGCGGGGTGGGGGACAAGAAGCCAGATGGTCATCCATGTGCTCCTGAGGGCACCCTGGGAGCCAGTCTTGGGCTGTGGGAACACCAGCCAGGAGACAGGGCACAGGGGGCCACCAGGATCCGGAGGTCACCCCGGCTGTGATTTCCAGCATGGGGGATTGTGTGAGGAAACCCACTCGTGCAGGAAGACAGAGGCAGTTAGTGGGCAGACGTGCAATCAGGCCCTGTCAGCAGGGACACAGCCGCCCCCCAGGGCAGGCGACCAGAGCTGGGCACGATGCTCCCAGGCCCTGCGGGGCTACCTTTCACCCTGTGCCGTGCGGACCCACTGGGATGCTTTCCTCCAGGGCTTGCTCACCTCCTGTCTCACCTCCATGTGACAAGGCTTCCTGCCCTTCCTTTCTGTTGCTCTGTCCAGAGCAGAGAGCACCCCATGCAGACAGCAGGGGACTGGGGAGCCTGTGGGATGTGCAGCATTGACAGCTGGGGCTGCAGGTGTGGGCAGGGAAGACAGTGAAGCTGGTATCAGCCAGGACCTGAACACAGCAGGACGCAGGGGGCTTTGGGCACAAAACAGCCTCCTACTGGGCAGGGGGTGGACACAGGCAGACCGTGGCCTGGGGAGACCAGGGCAATGCCCGCACCTTGCCATGAAAGCCTCTGGTGTGGGTGCAGAGCAACACCTTCCCGACACCAGGAACTGCCTCTGCCCTCTGCCCTCGGGTGGGTCCTGTCCTGCCCAGGAAGTGATGCCATCATTATAGCAGTGTGGGAACAGACTCATATGAAAAGCTTTGCCCCTCCCCTCCACAGTGCGGCAGGGGTAGCCTCTCAGCACTTCCTAAATCCCATTCACAGAGCGCGGCCCCTGCCAGTGCTCCAGCCTCTCCTGCCCTCCTTGCCGAGGCCCAGCAGGACTGGGCTGGAGACAGTCGGGGCTGACAAGGTTGCAGGTGGGCTCTGGGGGCGGTGGGTTAGGATGGCCACCACTGGGGTCAGCTTCTACAGGTTTACGCTGTGTCTCTGAGGCTGATTCCCTGGAGGCCACGCCAGGTCACTGCCCAACTGGGCCTGCGTTCAGCCACATGTAAACGGTGTTTCCTAAACCTCAGTCATTCTCGTGGCACGATGGTTTCTTAGACCCATCTACGTCGGTGTGTGGGCACCAGCACCCGTCTCAGAGGCCTGTGCTCTGCCATCTGTGCCCAGAACCATCTCATTCAACCCTGACAATGACGCTGTGTGATGTCTGGTATCGTGTCTCCCACTCCACGGATGGGAACACTGAGGCACGAAGTGATGAAAAGGTGCACTTCTGTCGGGGGAAAGCTGGGCTCACACCCAGGCAGCCCACGTGGAGCCCACACTCAAAACCACAGGGCTCTGCTGGTGCCCCAGACACAGTGAATACAAACCAATGTCACTCAGACTTTAAAGACTTTGTAAAGCAGGTTTCCGGTTTCCAGGCGGGAAAACTGGGCGTGTCTTCCCGACAGACACGGAAACCACGGCAACGACAGAAACTTTAAAATAGCAGCGGCCAGGCGCGATGGCTCATGCCTGCTGTCCCAGCACTTTGGGAGGTCCAGGCGGGTGCATCACCTGACGTCAGGAGTTTGAGAGCACTCTGACCAACATGGTGAAACCTCACCTCTACCAAAAATACAAAAAATTAGCCAGGCGCAGCGGTGGTGGACGCCCATAATCCCAGTTACTTGGGAGGCTGAGGGAGGAGAATTGCTTGAATTGGGGAGGTGGAGGTTGCAGTGAGCCAAGATCATGCCACTGCACTCCAGCTTGGGCGACAGAGCAAGACTGTCTAAAAAAAAGTGAAAGAGGGCCAGGCGTGGTGGCTCAAGCCTGTAATCCCAGCACTTTGGGAGGCCGAGGCGGGTGGATCACGAGGTCAAGAGATTGAGACCATCCTGGTCAACATGGTGAAACCCCGTCTCTACTAAAAATACAAAAAATTAGCTGGGCATGGTGGCACATGCCTGTAGTCCCAGCTACTCGGGAGGCTGAGGCAGGAGAATTGCCTGAACCCGGGAGGCGGAGGTTGCGGTAAGCCGAGATCGTGCCATTGCACTCCAGCCTGGGTAACAAGAGCGAAAGTCCATCTCAAAAAAAAAAAAAAGCGAAAGCAAAGAAAAGAAAGAAAATAAGACAGTGAACCATCAATCACCTGCAAGGCAGGAAGATATCCTGAAAGGACGGATCTGAGATGTGCTGAGAGCCACACACTGCCACACTGTGTGTCTGGGGGCAGTCAAAGCCTTTTGTATGAGTCCATTCTCACACTGCCATAAAGAAATATCTGAGACCGGGTAATTTATAAAGAAAAAGGTTTAGCTGACTCACAGTTCCGCCTGGCTGAGGAGGCCTCAGCAAACTTACAGTCATGATAGAGGGCAAAGCAGAAGCAGGCACCTTCTTGACAAGGTGGCAGGAGAATGAAACCCAGCAGGGGAGATGCCAGATGCTTATTAAACCATCACATCTCATGAGGACTCACTCACTATCACGAGAACAGCATGGGTTAAACCATCCATGATCCAGTCACCTCCCGCAGTGTCCCTCCCATGACATCTGGGGATTACGGGGAGGTATTAGTCCATTTCCACACTGCTGATAAAGACACAACCAAGAATGGGAAGAAAAAGAGGTTTAATTGGACTTACAGTTCCACAGGGCTGGGGAGGCTTCAGAATCATGGTGGGAGGTGAAAGGCACTTCTTACATGGTGGCAGTAAGAGAAAATGAGGAGGAAGCAAAGAGTGGAAACCCCTGTTACAGCCATTAGATCTTGTGAGACTTACTCACGATTACAAGAATAGCATCTGAAGGACTGGCCCTCACGGTTCAATTACCTCTGCCTCAGTTCCCACATGTGGGAATCCTGGGAGATACAATTCAAGGTGAGATTTGGGTGAGGACACAGCCAAACCATATCATTCTGCCCCTTGCCCCGCCAAACCTCATGTCCTCACATTTCAAAGTCTTTTTTTTTGAGACGGAGTTTCGCTCTTGTTACCCAGGCTGGAGTGCAATGGTGCGATCTCGGCTCACCGCAACCTCCGCCTCCTGGGTTCAGGCAGTTCTCCTGCCTCAGCCTCCCGAGTAGCTGGGATTACAGGCACGTGCTACCATGCCCAGCTAATTTTTTGTATTCTTAGTAGAGACGGGGTTTCACCATGTTGACCAGGATGGTCTCGATCTCTTGACCTCGTGATCCACCCGCCTCGGCCCCAAAGTCTTATTTCAGCATTAATCCAAAAGCCCACAGCTCAACACCTCATCTGAGACAAGGCAAATCCCTTCTGTGAGCCTGTAAAACCAAAAGCACGTTAGTTACTTGCTAGAGACAATGGCAGTACATGTATTTGGTAAACACAGCTGTTCCAAATGGGAGAAATTGGCCCAAACCAAGTGGTTAAGGGCCCATGCAAGTCTGAAATCCAGTGGGGCAGTCAAATGTTAAAGCTCCAAAATGATCTCCTTTGACTCCAGGTTTCCCATCCAGTTCACGTGGATGCAAGAGGTGGGCTGTCATGGTGTTGGGCAGCTCTTTCCTTGTGGCTTTGCAGGGTCCAGCCTCCCTCCTGGCTGCTTTGAGCAGCTGTGACTTTTCCAGGTGCACAGTACAAGCTGTCAGTGGATCTACCATTCTAGGGTCCGGAGGATAGCGGCCCTCTTCTCACAGCTCCACTAGGTGGTGTCCCAGTGGACACCTTCTATGTGAAGGCTCTGACCCCACATTTCCCCTCTGCACTGACCTAGCAGAGGTTTTCCATGAGGGCCCCACCCCTGCAGCACACTTCTGCCTGGACATTCAGGTGTTCCGTACATGTTCTGAAATCGAGGTGGAGGTTCCCAAACCTCAGTTCTTGACTTTTCTGCACCTACAGGCTCAACACCACAGGAAAGCTGCCGAGGCTTGGAGCCTCCACCCTCTGAAGCCACAGCTTGATCTCTACATTGGCTCCTTTCAGCCACGGCTGGAGCAGCTGGAATGCAGGGCACCAAGTCCCTAGGCTGCACACTGCATGCAGACCCTGGGCCTGGCCCACAGAACCACTTTTTCCTCCTGGGCCTTCAGGTCTGTGATGGGAGGGGCCGCCGTGAAGTTCTTTGACACGGCATGGAGACATTTTCCCCATGATCTTGGGGAGTAACATTAGGCTCCTTGCTACTTAAGCAAATTTATGCAGTCAGCTTAAATTTATCCTCAAAAAATGGTTTTGTTTTTGTTTGGAAAACTCTGTCCCTGTCGTGAAAGCCCTTCCCCTCCCACACAAAGAGCCTCCCTTATCTTTCACTCTACATACCGTTCTGGCTTTCCCACCTGGCTGCAGCCACCTCCCGTCCGACAACCGGCTGACCAATCACCACCTGCCTCATCAGCTCTCCCAAGCTTCCCGCCGCCCAGCTTCCCGCCGCCCGGCTTCCCCACCTGGCAGTTTAAACTAACCAACCGTTGCCCGCCACCTCAGATCTCCCGGCCTTCCCACTCCCTCGGCCCTTCAGCCCCCTATAAAAGAACCCTGCTTCTCTGAGCGCGCGTGGCCATTTTCCTGTTCTTCCCAACTGGCCCGCCCGGAGGCTCTTTCTTCTCAATAAAGCCTGAACTTAAGACTTTCTTCCAACCTGCGGTCCGGTTTTTTTCTAAACGAGCTCTGTCTTCCTGTAGAGGGTAGGTCAGACAGTTTTGTGTTTTTCTACTGCATTGTAAGGCTGAAATTTTTCTGAACTTTCATGCTGCTTCCCTTTTTTTAACTTTTTTCTTTTTTTGAGATGGAGGCTCACTCTGTCATCCAGGCTGGAGTTCAGTGGCACAATCTCAG